ACACTGCTGTTAGTCGATTTGGTATGTGTTCCCACACTGCTGTTAGTGAGTGAGTTCCAGGATTTTGACTTGGTGACATTTAAAGAACGGCAATATATTTCCAAGTCAGGATTGTGTGTTGCGGAGGAATGTATTCCCACATATCTGTCTCCCTTGTCCTGCTAAATGGTAGGGTTGTAACTTTGGAAGATGCTTTCAAAGAAGCTTTGGTATCTTTTGAAGCCTCTGTCTGTTGGATGAATTGTAAAGCTGAGGACGTTCTGTTTTCTCAGTGGATGTTAAAGATCTGTTTTGAAGAGGAGCGGTGGAGTTATCCTCTGTGTCCTGGCCGAGACTTATCCCTCAATCAATGTTGTTTGTAATACACAAGATGTGAAATTGTCTGGTTACTATCTTATTTATGATGCAACATGTGGAAACCTATGGTGTCCAAATTTGCTCCAGGGTTCCCAATATTACATATTGTTATGATTTCCTTAATGTCTATGCTTTTACAAAAAAGCCAGGCCCTGATAGAACTAAAAACCCAAAGAACTGCAGATGCTGTAAATCGGGAACAAAAACAGAAGTTGCTGGAAAAGCTCAGCAGGTCTGGCAGCAGCTGCGAAGAAAAATCTGAGTTAATGTTTCGGGTTCGGTGACCCTTCCTCAGAACTGATAGAACTGATCTTCCTTTCATTTTATTAAAATTCGCCATGTTAGATTATAATTTTCCCTTCAGTTTTTTAAAAAAATATTTTGTCTGTGAAATTGCTTTCCTTTATTTAGATCATGTAAATCATGTACAAGATAAATATTGTTGTATTATTTTGTGGCCTTTTTTTGTTTTTAATTAGCTGCCACCTCATGATTTAAAGGGAATCTGAAGCAATGTTGCTACACAGCCAATTGCTAATTGAAAGAGACATTTTTTTATTTCAGTCTCCTTATGTATTTACGTTTTGCCTTTCAGATTCTAAACCTCAATCTGCTTCATTATTGTGAAATTTTGGAATATTTCTTGCAACCAAAAGTTTAAATTGTGATTATATTTTTGCATTCTTTCTTTGCTGTATTTTGTTATCATCACTTGCAGAGAAAAGATTATTTAACTCCCAGACAGTTTTCATAACCTCCACTCTTGTTACTTTATTAAATGAAAAGTTTTCAAAACTCTGAGTATTAGGTTTAAATATGGCTCTATTTTATTTCAGATTTTCAGGGAAACGAAGGAGAAGGAGATTCAAGATCTATTACGAGCCAAACGCGAGTTAGAAACGAAATTTCAGAGACTGCAGGCTCAGGGTGTTCAAATGTTTGATCTAGTTGATTCTGACTCAGATGATAATCATACTGATGTTACAGGTAACACTCTAATGTTTATTCCTTCTGTGTCTTCTCTGTCTTTGTAGCACATGTTTCCAGCAAATACTGAGAACTTTACATCCATTTTATTGTTCCCATCATTTTATAAATGAGCAATTTCCAAGGTTGTTGCAATGTATGGGCATTTAAACTTGTAAGGCTGAAAGGGGAGATGTGTTGCCAAAACTTTGTTTTTGCAGTCGTCAGGACATACACAAGAATGACAAACTGCAAATGCTCACAGCCATTTATATTATAGCAGAAAATAAATCAGGTTGGCAAGTTGACTCTGATTTGCTGAGGCATTGCCATGAGGGAGCTATAGGCTCCCCCCACTCCAAAGTAATTTTTAAAAATTGCAAGACTTGAACGTATTCCCTGTTGTTTTCAGAGAATGGGCCCCTGTGCCTGAACGTATGGTGCTTGTAGCAAGCATAAATGAGCCATGTTCTGGACTCAACTGATTATCTTTTAAATGGATTAATGCACTCTGGATTATTCAGTAAACACTGCCCAATTTGGGAAGCACACCTTAATGGCTGGTTGAATTACATCTGCTTCAATGTGATGATATTGCTGAGTGAACTTGTCATACTTTCTTGAAGTCTCCTTACGTCAGTCTTTGCACATTCTCTCTATGTCTGTCTGTCTCTCTCTCACCTATGTTCCTTCACTAATGCATTGAATTTATGTTACGACTTATACTAAAACTCACACAGTAAGATGTTAGCCCACGTTTGGTTGTTTAGAATAAGTGGGGGGCATGTCATATTGAAGTTGACACAGAACATACAGATGGAAAAGAGACTTGTATTTGGGATGGCAGATGTTGTTGGATTTTGCACCTCTCTAGAAAGAAGTGAGAAGGCTGATGTTTGCCAATACATAAACACACCCAGACATAAAGAAAAAAACAACTTGTGTATCTACACAAACTAAAGCAACGGCAGCAGAAATTACATTTGATTCCGTCAGGTTTACTCAGCTCCTGACCTCTTTCCACCCTTGATTCAAACATGGACACACTGATTGAACTCCAAAGGTGAGGTGAGAATGACTACATTTGACACCAAGGCTGCATTTGACTCGTCAAAGAGGTCTAATGAAACTAGAGTCACTGGAAATAAGGTTGTAAACTCTGTGCTGGTTGAAATCATACCTGGTACAAGGGAGATGGCTATGGTTGTTGGAGGTCAGTTATCTCAGCTCCAGGACATCATTGTAGGAGTTCCTCAGGGGAGTGTTCTTGGCTCAACTGTCAAAGCTGCTTCATCGGTGACCTTCCATCTGTCATAAGGTCGGAAGTGGGTAGTTCCAATGTTGTGCAAAGTTCAGCACCATTCACAACTTTTCAGATACTGAAGCAGTCCATGCCCAAATTCAACAACACCTGGATAGTATCCAGGTTTGGGCTGATAAGTGGCAAGTAGCATTCATGCCAACAAGTGCCAGGCAATGACCATCTCCGACAAAAGAAAGTCTAACCAATGTCCCTTGACATTCAATGGCATTACCATCACTGAATCTCCCACAATCAACATCCTGAGGATTACCATTGACCAGAAACTGAACTGGACTAGCCGTATAAATACAGTGACTATAAAAGCAGATCAGAGACTAGGAATTCTGCAGCAAGTAATTCACTTCTGACTTTCCAAAGCCTGTCTGCCATATATAAGGCATTAGTAAGGAATGTGATGGAATGCTCCCCACTTGCTTGGATGGATGCTTAAGGACATAAGAGTATCATCTCAGTTTTTTTAAGCCAGTCACTTTATAATACCTGCAAGCAGTTATGATGGCAGATTTTAAATATTCCCAGATGAAATAGATTAATAAAATCTATTGTCGTATGCACTTTTTCCGATGAAAAAACTTTAAAATGTTTGTGATAGTTAAAGAGTCCACAAGTAATTAGTATTGGCTGACTTCATCCTCTATTGTGACGATACTATGGCTTTAAGAGGTGTATTTTGTCCTGGGTTTTTATATGAAGAAAAGTTGAGACAGAGATGATGGTGCTCAGTTTCCTCCCACAGTCTAAAGATGTGCAGGCTAGGTGGATTGGCCATGCTAAATTGCCCATTGTGTCCAGGGATGTGGAAGCTTGGTGGATTAGCCATAGGAAATGCAGAGTTACAGGGATAGGGTGGAGGGTGGGTCTGGGTGCGGTCCTCTTTGGAGGTTTGGTGTGGATTGATGGGCCAAATGGCTTGCTTCCACAATGTAGGGATTCTATGATAAAGTATGTATTGCTTCAAGTCGAGTAATTTGACCCATCAAATTGCATCCGGAACATGACGCCTTACGCTTACTTCTTAAATAAGAAAATATTAGGGTCTAAACTATCTTCTTAATATTTTGAGGGTATTTGATCTGGTCTGTAATAGTACTATTGTTGTAATTAATTGTTATGTATTCTGCTTTGATCTTTTGTTAGAATTGCTGCTCATCATTTTTAGCTGATGTTGCATAGCTTCATAAATCCTTTGCAAAAATAGTTCACTTGTCCATCTTTTTTACCACTTCCATCTCCTTTGTAACTTTGTAATGTTGGAAAATTGCATATGCGTTCCCATAGAAATGTGATTTAGTGGTACTTAAGATTTCGACATGGTTTGTATTCCTGGTAAAAGAAATTTTAAAATAAAATCTGTGACATGAGCAGAAGGTCACAATCAAGTACTAGATCAATTGGTAATTTTAAATTTAATTTTGCATAATAAAAGTCTGTCAAATGTTTTAAGGGGTATGGGACAAATATGGTTACTTTACAGATTGGATTCACAGAGTTGAATGGCAGAACAGGCTTGAGGACTAAATGGCCTACTCCTGCTTTTGTGTTCCTATTTCATGTGAGGAAAGTCCAAGCAGATACTAAAGTAGGAGTGGCAAGTATTAAGAGAATTATTGCAAATATTTGTCCAAATATATACCAAAATGGGCTTAATTTAGAATCCTTTGTAATTCAAGCTAATATCTAATTACTCCATTTTAGTGCTGTGTGACATTAGATTTGTGATTCTGCATATGGCAGCATTTTAAGTTTCTTTTTGGTTCTGTTGAAACCAGACTTTGTGTTTCAGTTGTGTTATTTGGTGTACCTCCTTAAAGCTTGACACCCTCTTTGAACTTTTCAGCCACAGGCACTCAGTGTGAATACTGGAGTGGTGGGGTCCTGGGAAGTGAACCATCTTTGGGCAGCATGATACAGCTCCAGCAGACATTCCGAGGCCCAGAGCTTGCACATAGTTCCATAGATGTTGAAGGACCATTTGCCAATGTTAATCGAGGTATACTGTAATTTGCTAATACTGAGGTAATACCATTTTTTTCATAGCTTTATATTAGGCTGTACAGGGGTCCCCAAATTATGAACATCCTACTTACGAATGCTCGTCCTTATGACTACAATCCCTACAGGATTTTAATTTTTAAAGACCTGACATGCGAACATTTCCTGATCTTATGATGACTGATTTCCATTGTCCTGCATTGTGTTCCAATTTGCCTACAGAGCCCAGGGTGGAACCTGGGACTGCCTGTATTTTGCTGTGGCAGTGCAAGACATTTAATGACGACTTCAAAGCTTTTTAAAATTGTTGGATGGTGAAATGTTGGAAGTGTGAACTGATAACAGTGCAATGAGAGAAACTGGGCATCCATGGCCTGAAAGAAAGGAGCGTGCAACTGTGTACCTGCTCAAGCAGAGCGATTGAAGCGTTATGATATTAACCGCATTAGGATTGAGATAATTGTGTAAATTACAAGAGTAATGGATTAATTCAATGTCAGTGCAGGTGCAGTAAGTAAAACAAAGGGATAGGAAATAAAATTTTGGGTTAAGAGAGAAAAAGAATCAGAAAGCAAAGTTTTAAAACAAAATCATTCGACACAAGAAACTTTTTCACCAATAATTAAAGTGTGAAGGAATGAGACTTCATATTTGTTTTCAGTGACTGACAACTAATGCTTATGATGTTGTTGAAAGGAGACTGAGACTAACTTAAAAGAGTTCATATCCTTTCAACTTTTTGTGTATGATTAGTTTGTATCTACCATGCAAGTCAAGGAACGTCATGGCATTCAAAGCATCTCAGTGGTGTGTCAGAACAAGAGATGATGTCTTGGTGAAGTTAATGATGAATTGCAGCATCTCTGGCAGCGACATTTGTAGTTCCACTTTTAATTGTCAGTGGTCCGTGCTGTGAAGTGTTGAGTGAGGCCCGAAGTAGGTGGAGGGCACTGAACAGATTTGAGTTGATTTTAAAGCTGCATCAGTTTAGAATTAATTTGGTGGAAATCCCAGATTTGTGCCAGTGGTGGTGGAAGAAAATAGTTCTCACTACGAGATAGAGTAACTTGGAGTTTTGGCCTAAACCAAGTGACCATAAGTCATGTGGGTGTGACTTACTGAAATTGGATGTTAGTCTAAAATTAAACAGAAGTTTGAATATGCTTTGTTCTTTACTTGTTTCGGAGCCATTAATGAAAAGGCTAAGGTAGATGAATAGTGGTACATGCGAATCATATTTCAGAGGGGATTTATTTTGTTGCATTGACTTTTCCAGATGACTGGGATGCTGCTATGGCTAGCTTGCTGCAGGTGACACCATTTCTTCCTCAGACCCTTTGGAGCAATACAGTGCGCTGTTATCTCATGAATACTGCAACCACACAGCCCGAAGTAGACTTGCTTCTTCAAGTAAGGCAATATTAATCAAATATTAGTTTAGTACCCTTATTGTTGTTTGGTTTGAAGGACTGGGTAGTTGTTCAGTGTCCCTTTCTGGATTCTGTGGCTAAGCATGAAACATTACTGAACCAGTCAGAGGAAGGAGACCCAGTTTAGTTTTATTGCTTCTGATCTGCTCTGAATGCATTCATTTCAGATCAGGAACTGCTGGGTGTGTTATAACTGGTTTTGGTGCATCAAGATCGCACAGTCTTGGGATATACAGTGCGTAGATGCAATAGGGACAAGATAGGATTCATCTGCGGTGGTATTGAAGGTAATATTCCCTCACTTTTCCCAGTTCCTTCAGTGGTTGTTTGTAGCATCGCACCCAAAAGAAATTGTCAAACTCAGCAAGTGGATGTGGCATCTGTACTATCCTAGGTAGTGGAAGATTTCATTTGCAGGGGTTCTCGGTTTCTCAGTTGAAAACTAAATACAATCCAGTGATGATTCCTTTAACTGAACCTATGAATGATATATTTCCTGTTGGCTGAGTATCCTTTCAGCCTTCTAGGCTCATGTGTAAACAGTTCTCGTTAAAGGAGGTGTTGGAGGACTTCAGCCATGGTCATGACTGTGATGTCAAAAACAGCTTCAGTCAAACGTCTACATTCCAGTGACCCAAGCGCTGTTATGGCTATTCCATAACAAAGTTTAAGAAGTTCTATAAACATGTGAGAAATGCACCTTTCTCATAGTCACATGTCATTTAGGTGCATTTAGGTAAATAACACCATCTGAATATTTGGTGGTTCAAAATGCCACTTGCTTAATATAATCAGAATTGCTGCCAACAATGTAAAGATTTACAAATCTCTGACATTACAGTTAGTTTTATTAATTCATGTGATGTTGGCATCGCTGGCTGTGCCAGCATTTATTGGCCACCCTAATTGCCAGTTGAAATGAATGCCATTGAGGAGGGCAGTTAAGGGTCAACAACACTGGTATGGGTCTGGGGTTGCATGTCGGCCAGACCAGGTAAGGACAGCAGTCTTTTCTTCTCTAAGGATGTTAATGAGCCAGATAGGTTTTTACAGCAGTTGACAGTGGTCGCAATTAGACTAACTTTCAATTCCAGTTTCGCCATTTACCATTGTGGGATTCGAGCCCACCTCCCCAGAATATTTGCCTGGGTCTCTGGATTACTAGTCCAGTGACAATATTGCTATGCCACAATCTCCCTAAAAGAACAGTAATTGTCAAAGCTCTTGAAAATTACAGTCCTCTCTCCTGCATTGTTAAAGAAAGGGCAGAGCTCTACTCATGCCTCGCCATCCCTCAATCAACACTTAATAAGATTTAAAAAACAGATTTCTGTGGATGTTGGAAATCAGAAATGCAAGCGTAACGGTGGAATTACCTAGCAGGTTATTGGCAGAATCTGCGGAGAAGCTGAGCTAATATTTCTGTTTCTCTCTCCACAGGTGCTGCCATAATTTAACTGCATATTTCCAGCATTTTCAGATTTAAAATCTAAAAAAGTAGCAGGGCTGAGCCCAGGGCTCGCCTGTCTGCTTTCTTTCTCTTTTTGTTTTCTTTTTTCTTTTTGCTCTTTTTTTCTTTCTCCTTTGTTTTCTTTTAGGCCTGGGAGTGCGTGAAGTAGGATGCCTCCAATGGCAGTGGCAGCAACGCCAGGATGTGCCAGACACAGCTCCACCCCAGTCAGTGGGTCTCCCACGAGCGAGGAGCAGGCCCTCGGCTGACTTACCGGGCCTGGACTCTAACATCTTGGATTATATTCATTTTTTCAAGGTGGCGCCAGAGCATGGCGACACTTGTCATATAACACATGACGTGTATTTTTATACACGTGACAATAAATCTAAATCTAAAATGGGTCATTTATTTCACTGTTGGCTGTGAAAGTCAGCTATTCTCAAATTGGCTGCTGAGGTTCCTTCATTACAACAAGTACTGCACTTTTAAAGATGCTACATTGGCTACTGAGTAGTTTGGCATATCCTGAGCTGGTGAAATGCACAATGTAAGTGCAAGTCTTGCTTTCTCTTCACTCATGTGTTTTGAGAATGGAGTTGTTTTTGGGGAGGGGAACTTGATGGTAAATCTAGAAAACAATTCTGCTTTTCAGAGGGTTCAAACTGTCCGGCTATTACACAGTATCTTATGTAGAAATGTCGAGGACTCAAGAAAACCATTGACTACATCTACATAACATCAGCACCGTGGCCTACATGCCTTTTGAGTCATAGAACATTACTTTGGAAGATGATTTTGTTTCATCATAATAATGAGTATAAATGGTTGCTGATTTTATTCTGGATGAGGGCTTCCCTGATGCATGGATTGAATGCTATGGTTTTGCAAGCCTTTAAATGAGTGCAATCAATTTTGCTGCAGTCGATCTGATTTGAAGTTTTAATTGTACTACAATGTGTGTTTGTTTCTTTTAGGAGTATTTACCAAAGCTGCAAATGATGTGCGAGAGTCTCGGGCACTTTTTTCTTACAGTACAGTTCCCAATGGAATGTGCCAGTCAGTACCTAGCTGAGAGGAGACGAGAGATAGAGAAAAGTTCCTTGTGTCTTTTTCTTCTGGGTTCTGATTTACCTCGGTAAGGAGGTTTCTGCACTGTTAAATATAGAATTGAAATTGTGATTGCTTCTGTTCACAGTAAAGTCGTCTTAGTGCTGTTAACTGAAGCATTAGCTCATTTATTATAATTTTGATGTATCTGTTAAAGGTGATGTAGAGAAGAAATTGATAAATGCATTCAACATTTGTATGAGAATACCATTGATTCTTGACTTCTAGTTATGTTTTGTCACAGTTTTATAGCAATATGGTTATAAATTCCACTGTATTTACAATGGATTTTGTCAATCTCCAACCCTGCACTGGCAGTCTGCCCTGTGGGTTGCCACAATTTGCATATGATGTTTTCTGATTTCCTTTGTTTTCAGGTCCTCTTGGAGCAGAAATTTCTAATCAAAAATGAGTTTTAAACAGAAATTTGAAAGAAAATGTTAATTTTTTCACAACATAAATGTACCCATTGGATTCTTTTGGCATTATTTATGCAGTTATTGACAACTTAGTTTGAAAGACTTTGCCTTTCTCAAAAAAATGGACTGGAATTGATGTTTTTAATTTAGACCAGTGAATTTGGAAGCTACATTTTATTAGTTTAGCTTATGTGCTATATTCCCTAATTTCCTGATGAGGATCATTAATGACCCATCAGCTGTATTGATGGAATCCTTTGCAATTGTAACTTCCAAACTTTTGTGTGCAGGCAGCTCAATGCCTGTTATGGGGGCTTTAGTTGACTTTGGTTTTTGTTCTCATATATTTTGAAATACAAAATGTAAGACTTTGAAATGAGGACTGGGTTACATTTCCATGTCCTAGTTAAATTACCCCCCACCATATAGGACACTGCTTCACCTAAAGACTGGTCTTAACCCCTTCGGCTTTATTTAAATGTTTCACTGTGTGTTTTGTTGACAAGACCTGCATTAAATGCCCATCCAAAAGTGCCCATGAGAAAGTTAGCTGCCACCTCGAATACAACTGATTGGTTTGCGAGGCCATTTCAGGGACAGTTTTGAGTCAACTACATGACTGGGTCTGAAGTTGTGGACAGCCAGATTACCTTTCCTAAAGGACATTAGTAAACCAATGTTTTTTTTAAGTGATGATTCAGTAGGTTTAAAATCACTTTACTAAATCCCACATTTGTCTACCAAACTGAATTCAGATACTTCTAAAGATGTGGGGGGATTTGAACTTGTGTCTCCTGATCATCTAGCTGTTTGGATTGTTAGTCCAGTAACATAATCACTATGCAACCGGTCATGCTCTCACATTCAATGGTGTGTCTACATATTCTTTCACATTCAGAGTGACAGCTTTTTACAGTACATTTAGTGCATTATTTTATTTAATGTCAGCTTTATGATGTGTTAAAAGTTTGAAAATAGTGCTGTTTGTTGCCTCATTTTCTGATTTGCTATTTCATATGTCAAAGTCCAATGAAAATTGGAAATACTTAGCCAGTGGTTAGAGTGAGAAGAACCGATTTGTGCTTTTGTTTTTGCAGTTTACATAGTTGGACCATTTGCGATTGTACTGTATTCTGTGTTTTATTTGTAAAGTGTAGCAAAAACCATGAAAATTAAATGTTAAACTAATCTTTGGAATATTTAGTTCCCTGAGTATAGAATAATCGTTTTTCATTATTCGATGCCCTCCACAGCATGAAGGTGAAAGACAGATCTTGGGCTTGCTTAATTGAATTGAATCATTTAATTGAATTGAATTGTTAATTGTCATGTGTATTCAATGTAAAATACAGTGAAAAGTGTGTACCGTCACTGTGCAAAGACACCATTCACATTAACTTAGAATAAGATTTTAAAAAATAACTTAGAGAGTGCAACTTTTCCTTCTCTGCTGCCACAGTCCCGCTCCAGGCTTCCCAGCCCATGCCATGGGGGGAAATAAAGTGGAGGATGTTTTTCACTCACTCTTGTGGTGTAAAAGCAAGTTGTAGAATTTCTTGCATGAGTGTTGCAGGAAAACAGTTTTTTGAAGCTAAAGGCTTCTACTAATCAGGAAAATTTGCAAGAATATCAATTTCAAGAGAAACAACATATTTATGCTATATGAGAAAAGCATGCTGATTGATTGGCAAGTGGACTCTTGATTGGTAGAGGTATTGCTATGGAAATGCAGATGACTGATAGTTAACTGCCAAGCGTTGTTCAACTTTGATCCGGACAAGTTGACTCTGGTCAAGGAATTCCCCTGAGGAATGAACCAGATCGTGGCTGTCACCTGTATTGTTTATTTGAAACAGGGACTGTGTATGTACATGATCTTTCTGTCTGCAGTGCATGGTTTCTTTAAAATTGGCAAACATCCACGATTGTGCATATCTTAAAAGAATCTTTTTGTCAAAATGTGTATTTTTTGAGCAATATTTCATTAATTGTTAATTGAAATCTTTTCTGATGGAGTCACACTGCAAAGGCATAACTGGCTTCAAGTGCTAATGTTGGTAGGACTAATTCTACCTTTTTACATTTGAATTCAACCCACAAAGAGTATTCTAAGGTTGTAGATGTACAATGTATAAAAATACTGAGGGATTGTAAACATTACCTGCTCTCATATGTGATCCAGTGCTGTTTTGTTTAATGAAAGGTGCATGGAAGAGGACTGTGAAGAAAGTCTCCTGAAGAATGCTGACAGTAGACCATTGATAATATACCACAGATTGGAGGAGAGCGGTGAGAATTCAGATTTAGTACTCCAGATGATTGGCAGACTGTCTGATGCAAATCAGAACCAAAAAGCAAAGGTAATATGTGGAATTATTTGCACTAGTTGAAGGCACTTCTCATTCATTCTCCTTTGTTTTTATTTTAAACAACACATGATGTTCTACAGTTGGCTATTGCTCATATCATTAAACGTAGCTATAGTTATTTTTGATTTTGCTGATGAGAGACAGTGATGATAATTGAATTAACTTGTCACCTTGGGTGGATTTTGACCTTTTGTAGTTTAACTGGAAACTACATCAGCCTGGAAAGCAGTAGGCACTGTAGCAAGGTCTTTGCTTCCAAACTAAGGTGACGGAAAATCCCTGTTTTGTCCATGAATCACTGTGTGAATGAAGACCAGTATTCCCTCTAAGTTGCACGAGTGCAAGGCTCTGCAGCAATCGGGAATGTATCATATAGCGTATAAATGTTGCTGCAGACGTAATGCTTCTTTTAAGATATGCACAATCGTGCATGTTTGCCTATTTTAGAGGAACCATGCACTGCAGATATATTTTTGGGAACATTAGTGGGGAAAACTTGAATCTTAGCTGTGATCCCCACCGTGTGTCCACAGCTGACATAAATCAGTGTTGCAACCTAAACGTTCGCTGCTGTGTTAGGAACACAGTGTTGAATCAGTTCCCAGTTCCACAAACCCAAACTGGGGAAAAGTGCTCCAGATGTTGAGATATTTGGTCTGGGGTGGGTGGGGGCTAGGATCCATGTTGAGTAAAGATTTAAGTATATACTGATGAATTCACTATTTAAAAAATACACCCTGATTGAGAAAGACTAAAACACTACATTTAACTTTACTGAATCCCTCATAAAAACTAATGTTGGAATTGCTAGTCCCACTTCAAAGAGTTTGTAACCATAGTTCAATCAGACTGTGAACTGAAAAGCACCCCGCTGTGGTAAGAGAACATTATAATTCAGTCATGCAGCAGTAATTCTGTGAAGATAGTCCCCATGCTTATGTCAGCAGGCAGAGCAAAATAGCAAGCAATAATTTTTTTAACACTGTGTAACAGGTTTTTGTTCATATTTTTAAACACCAAGGAGTTGACAGCAATGTGGAGCTGGAGGAATACAGCAGGCTAGGCAGCAGCAGAGGAGCAGGAAAGTTGACGTTTCTGCCTGGCCTGCTGTGTTCCTCCAGCTCCACACTGTGTGTCTCTGACACTAGCATCTGCAGTTCTTGCTATCTCGGAGTTGACAGCTCTATTTGCCTGCTATCTCGACAGTTCCAGCGGGCTTTATTTTTCAAAAGAGTTTACCTGCTCATTACGCATATTCATGTCCACTTTTGGTAATCCCAGAGAGCATGATTTCTTCAAAACGTGTCCCAGGACCATATCCAAAAGGATAACCTACCTTTCCAAAGGATTCCAGCAGCTTTAGATCTTCTCCTGTTCCATCTAGCGTGCACAAACTGTGTTTTGGATATTGATTTGGGAAAATTAGGTCGACCTAAGACAGCTGCACTTTTAAATGTGCACATGTCTCCATGGACCATAGATGTGCAAATCAGAATCAGCCCCAGTGCCAGAATGGAAGATGTTGTGTTCAGGGGTGGGACTTGAAATTTGGGCCTCCACTATGATTTTCTCACAGATGAAGATCCTATCCAAATAATCGAGCCTACATGTAGGTTCATACATTAGCATATTGGAATTACAGAGTCCATGGAAGTGTATGCCTTGAGTTAGTAACTCCATTGAAGAAAGGGAGAAAAGGGAAGAAAACAATCTGTAATTTTGACCTTGGAAGCTTTCAAATGCATCGAGATGAATCTTGGACAGAATGGTCTCGTTTGCGTTATGTGTGGTTTGTCGTGGTCGTTAGTTTAGAAGAGTTTCATGTATAGATCTGTGATTTCTTTATTCGTTAATGGGATATGGGTGTCGCTGGCCAGGCAGCATTTATTGCCCCATCCCTAATTGCCCAGAGGACAGTTGAGAGTCAACCACATTGTTGTGGGTCTGGAGTCACAGGTAGGCCAGACCAGGTAAGGAGGCAGTTTCCTTCCGTAAAGGACATTAGTGAACTGGATGGGTTTTTCTGACAATTCATGGTCATCGTTAGATTCTTATTTCCAGATATTTTATTGAATTCATGTTCTACCATCTGCTGTGGTGGGATTCGAACCCGGGTCCCCAGAATGTTATCTGGGTTGCTGGTTTAACAGTGCAGTGATAATACCACTAGGCTGTCGCCTCCCCTCCTTTTGAAGTATGGTGGAAAATATTTCATGTTACATGTACTCTAAAAATACAAGTTGTTGTTCACCTTTAAGTTGTAAAGGTTTCCCTCAGTGCCTTCATCAAATTTGTCAACAAAGTGATGAGCAATGACTCAAGCGTTGATTTGACTAGTAACTGGCCTTTGTAATTAGTAACAACTAACTTTAATGGCAACCCATTGTCTACAGGAGTTCAAACAGTTCCTTATGCAAACTAAAATCTATTTCCTAAGTCCAGAAAGCTCAATGAAAAATTAGGTGAGAGAAATAGTGCGAAAGCTGGAAAAGGCAGAAAACTTGAAACATCTAGCAGGTCAGTGAAGGACCATCACATTTCGAGTCTGATATAGCTTTCCTTCAGAACTGATATTTCAAAGTTTGAGGAAGTCATTTTGGATGGGAAACGTTAATTCTGGTTCTCTCTCTACAGACACTGCCTGAGCTGTTGAGTTTCTCCGGAACTTGCTGTTTTAATTTAAGATTTCTAGCATCTGCATAATTTATTTCATTAGCTTGAAGTGTCAGCTGCTGTTTTCACAGGGATGATGCCTGGACCATAGGTTTAATGTTGCTTTGTAGCTATTTATGTAGCGCTTTGTTGAGGGTTTTTAAGAAGTTGAGCTACACAATACTGTATGCAGTTTTGATTATCACTTATTTTAAAATTATTAATATTTTCTTGTCTTTTTTTAGATAATTGAGCATGATGGATGTGCAGAGGAGGGAGCGAGGAAAGTGTTTTCCCAAGTAGAAAAACTCATTAAACAGGTGCTATACAGACCAAAATATATTGAATTAATGACTGCAGACTTTTCCATGTATTTTGACACACATTATCGTGTTTTTCACTATCTTTTGTCTTCCTCAGCAGCGTTGCTGGCTGTAGGAAGTTGCAATCAGTTAATGCTTTTATTAAAATCATTGTTCTTTGGCCTAGGAATTGCTGGGTTGGGGAAGCACAGATCTTGAAAACAAAGATTCTGGAATTGAGGATGATTCCACCAACTGGGAAGAGGAGGACATTGATGATGCAATTTGGGATACGCACGATGAGCAGGAGCAGTTAGAAGCTTTTCAAGCAGCTGTAGGATCCACCTGTGAATTGGGATTTGAGAAGGTATTCCTTGCTTTATGCTCATGATAACATTTTTTTAAAGATTACATAACCATTGCAGTGAAACACAAAGCATATTGGCATGCCATAAACATGATTTAAAATGGAATAAAAATGAATCGTGTAGCTATCAACAGGAGAGATCACTCTGCAGTGCATTGGAATAATTTCCTGCTTTAGCGTGTACAGACTAAATAGCAGAGAATAGCTGCCAATTGGGAGATTACCTTAAGTGGCACTGCATACCTATCCTATGAGGAGTATTCATTATTAAATTAGTGTGATTTTCAAGTCCGTGCCTTGTTTGAATAGGATGACCTAGACTTGAATTTACCGTTAACTTATGGATTATGGATGGATGAAGCTTGTCATTTTCACTTGGGTTCCTTAACATTTTTCAAAAGAGAAAACTTTTATTTTTTATTTCGTATAAATGCATTTATGTATGTATCCCTCTCATGGCCAATATGAATAACAAATGTGTTACCATTATTGATTTGACATTTCTGAATGTTAAGTAAAGAGACTGACCTTACAAAGTGCTTTACATGTGTCAAATGATTTTGAAATAAAACGCAGTAACTGCGTGAGACAAAAGTGGCAGCTTTTGTTGTGCACAATAAGTTCTCTCAGAAATGCACTGGTTGATTGAGTGGTTAAGTCATGCTTAATGGCATTGGGAGAATAACTGCTTAATATCTTAGTTAAAATAGCAGACAGAAGAATTCAATATTATTAGTATTGACAATTACTTGTATATTGTTGGCATCACTGATTTCAATCCATCTGATGTAATCCAGTGCTGTTTTTTGGGCACAAAGGAAGTTACCTGCTTTGAAAAGTTCTCAATATATTATGTCAACAATATACTGATTAAACTTGGTATCGTTGCTATCCTCACTCAGACCAGACTTTCAATTCTTCAGTTATTTGTTTCAATTATTTAATGTTGAATTGCTTACAGTCTTGTGCTGTGGATTTGTGAACTCTAAGCACTGGTCCTAATGCTCAGGAAACCTTAAAGCAGAGTCTATCAGTCTAGACTATGGAAAGAGGTGTATTAACCTACTGTGTACTGTGGATGATCCAGACAAAAGTATGTAGTACGCTAAGTTATCAAGTCATTTAAAATGTTAGGATAAAATGTCAGATGGTTCAACAAATTTCAAATCACTAGTTGTAATTTCTTCTGTATGCGTGGTTTTCAAATATCATACATCAGAAGGTGAAATAATCTTAATAGTTACCCTGTCAAAGGAGCTCACCCTTTTCATTTTAGTCTAGTGTCTTAAGTGGCACTTTAATGTTTATCAGTGAACACCTGAGCAAATTATCAATGATACGTAACTTCAGTTGCATCTGTGCATAGATAGTATTTAAACTGCATTCCCCTCCCCCAAAAAAAGCTATCTAGTTTATTGAACTATTTGTATTAGCATTTTAGAGATTGTGATTATTTATACACAATTGGAGAAAATTTATTCTGTTCATTACATCTAATAATTTGTAAATTTGTACGTGTTGATTATTATTTCATGACATACATCATTGTCACATTGGTGGTTAACTGTTTAACCTTTGCATATTCTTTTCTGTTATTAACATTATCAAGACTTATTTTCTTCAAATACACAATGATATTATTAAAATCTATAGAAATGTAAAACAGTTTTTATTTCACAGGTTTTCAATAAAGTAGTTCTTTGTCTTGCCAGAGAAATAATCTCTCAGGCCTCAAAGGTTAATGATATGAACTGTTCATCAAATGTTTAGTCTGGTTCATATTTTCCACTCATTTGTAATGGTTTACAGAGCAAAGAAAAATTTCAAGGCACAGTGGTGTAAACTGTAATTCTGCCGATATGAAACAATGCTTTCTGATCTTTTGTTGTAACTTTTATTTAGTATTATGACCGGCTGAATGAGCTGGTGACAGCTCCTGCACCTATTCCTCCACTTCTTGTGTCAGGTGGTCCAGGCTCTGGCAAATCACTTTTGCTGTCTAAATGGTATGTACACAGTTTGACATTCATAAAATATTTCTTTTTTCCCTTTATATCCTATAATGTGTCTTGTATGCTGTAACCAGACTATTGTAATTTTTATTATTTTCTTTAGAACAGGCAGAACAATGACTAAATCAAAAATGAATAGTTTCATACTTGACTAACTTATAATTCATTTAGATTCATTCACAGCTCTGAAAAAGTAACACAAAACAGCAGGTAAGGCTGCATTGTGGTAAGAGAACTGAAGTTAACAGGCTGGATTTTCATCTCCAAGACAGCATGAGTTTGGAAATGGAAGGGAGCGGGTCCTAAGTGAAACCTTTTGAACTTAGCTATTAAAAGGATCCCCCATCCCAGATGATGGTTCATGACACTTCTGAGGGACCTTGAACAACGAGATCTTTACAAAGCTACGCCAAGTGCATGAAAATTGTGGGGGCCTAGGAGTTGCCTACCTCACTTTGGAGCTGACCATATTGTGAATGCAGACTCATGACCCAAACCAGTTTGTCCCCTCAACTGGCAATGAATGTAAATATGAACATATGGGTTCGGAGTAGGCCAGAAGGCTACTCTAGCCTTCTCCACCATTTAATAAGATCCTGGCTAGTTTGATTGTTATTTCAACTGCTTATTCCCACTTATCCCAATAGCCTTTCACCTCCTTGCTTGCCAAGAATCTGTGCACCTCTGCCTTAAAATATTCAAATACTCTGCTTCCATCGCCCTTTTGAGGAAGAGTTTTAAAGACTGTCAATCTCTTGCAAGGAAAAAAAAACTTCTCATCTCTGACTTAAGATAGCAACCCCTTATTATTAAACAATGATCCCTAGTTCTAGATTTTGTCCTAAGAAGATATATTCTTTTCATATCCATTCTGTCAACATCCCTCAGGATGTTATATGTTTGAATCAAATTACCTCTTATACTATAAAATTCCAGTGGATGCAAGGCTAGCCTGTCCAACCTTTCCTTCGTAAGGCAACTCATCCCTCATTTTAGGTGTTAGTCTGTGAAACCTTCTCTGAGCTGCTTTCAATGCATTTACATCTTTGCTTAAATACTCGTAAAAATTGGAAGCACCAGGAACAAGAATCCAGTAATTAAGACCGAGTTGCCAATTATGGAGTCTTCCCAGTTCCGTGAAAACCCAGGCCAACATTTCATGTCAGTGTTTTTTCACCAGAATTTTCTGATCTTAGTTCCGCTTTCCCACATGCAGTTTTTGCTTCTGTGGTCTGAAGAAATTGTTTAAAGGTTTTCATATTGAGGGGGTATATTATATTACAACTTTCGAAACCCAAAGTGGAAGGCATTCTATCTGCTATGCTCGTAATTAGAATTTATAATTTATTGTCATGTGTACTTTTACGGGTAAAATACAATGAAAAGTGTTACAAGCCACCTTACCATGGCACCTGTATTAATCTGCAATTTATTGAATAATATGCAGGGTTGCTACTTCCTCTTTATTTCTCTTATAAGTACAGGGTTATTGAGGGAGACATTACCTATAATATTGAGCTTTAAGTTTTTCACTTGCAGTTTTTGTCATTCTTTTCTGTCCTCATAGGATTGAACACCAGCAAAAATGTTCCCCAAACACCTTAATTTTATATCACTTTGTGGGAAGGCCCCTGTCTACCAGCTCGGACCCAGCTCTAATAATAAAACGACTGACTGTAAAGGTAGAAAATTGAATGCCTTGAATCCAACTCTGCATGGTATTTAAGAGATGGAAGGAAACAAAAGAACCTTTCCTTGTACTAGGCACTGACGAGTAATTCATTTCTTTACTCTTGAATATTGTATTGAATTATCAGATAATTTGAGTTAAATAATTTTGAGTTGATGTGATCAGTGGTCCAAATGAATGACAAACCTTGTAAAAGCCTTCATCAGAAATGTCTTATAACAAATCCAAAGTCGTCTTGTGCTTTGAAAAATATTGTTTTACAATATTTTCCGATCAAGAGCTTCGTACCAGATTTATATAAATATGCCACTTTGAAGCTGCTGTTCATTAGCTAAGTAAAACCAGGCTTAGTTTTGTTTTTTGATGTAACTAAACTTGGACTAAGCATCCCAACACGTTAGGATCACAGCAGTGTTCATTCTCGGGGAAGATGTGAAAGAAAAATGTTAAATTACTGAGAGGAAATTATTTACATCGCTGAAAATATAAATGGTCAGCCCCCCCCTTGGTGTTTTCACATCTGTTACTTGGAGAACGTTTCTTCTAAATTGTTCTTTGTTCATAGAAGGGTAAATTTTGCAAGGTTGCACTCCTATCATGGAGCAAGTTTGAGGGCAGTGCAGATCTTAGAATCATGGACTGTCCGTTTTCCACTAAATAATTTGATTGATCTAAAGACTTCAGGTTCTTTAGTCTGCTGCCCTATAGCAGAAAGCTTCATGCCATGCAATCATATGAATGAAGATCAAGGAAAGACCACACAGCCCCTTGAGCCTGCTCTGCCATTCAGTGAATCATGGCTGATCTGACTACTCCACATTTTCACTAAAACCCCCCAACCCCACCCTCATCAATGATCTTCCTCCTCCTTATTTGTCAGTAATCTTTCTACCTTTGCCTTTTGAGGAAAAGCATTCCAAACATTTGTGACCTTCTGTAAGAATAATATTTACCTTCATTTCTGCCTTAACTAAGTGAACCCTTATTTAGTTCTCCAACTAACCAAGTAACCATTATTAGGTGAAGCAGTGTTCCCCTAGTTCTAGATTCTCTCTCAAGAGGCATCCTTTCCATGAGAGCCCACAGAATCTCATATTTTTCAGTCACATCATTTCTTACTCTTCTAAATTCCAGAGGATACGACTCTAGCCGGTTCAACCTTTGCTCATAAGACAACCCTCCAGGTATTGGCCTGGAAAACCACCTCTGAACTGCTTCCAATGAATTTATATCTGTCCTTAGATAAAGGAGAAGACAGGTGCTATACACAGTACTGATGTGAGCTCACCAATGTCCTTTAAAACTTAAGCATAGCTTCCCCACTTTTGTATTCAATTCCCCTTGCAATAAACAATAACACTGTATTGGCTTTCCCAATTTCTTGCTGCATCAGCATACTAGTCTTTTGCAATGCATGCATCATGACACCAAGATCCCCTGCAATTCAGAGTGTAGCCTTGAAAAACATAATGCATAAATATTAGTTTCTTGTTCACTTCTAGCTGTTGCAGCATTCGTGGTCCATGTCTGCCCTCGCCCTGGATCCAAATAAGTTACTGGAAGAGTTTCCTCGATGGCTGGAGAAACTATCTGCACGCCGCCAAGGCAGTGTTATCATAATTATTGATTCCATTGACCAGATTGAGGTATGGTTAAAACTAGAAGCCCTCAAAAGTAATTTCAACTTTATTTGGCCTTGCGTTAAAAATAATTTATGTTTTCACAATTCTGAAGCTGAAATTTTTAGGTTTAGGTAGAAGTATGATGCCAAGTTTAGCTGTAAAACTTAACGGTGTAACAATTTAAAAAAAAAAGAACTGCAGACACTGGAAATCGAAAACAAAAACAGAAATTACTGGAGGTAGGTCTGGCAGCATCTGTGTAGAGAACAATTCTGGAAAAGGGTCTTTGGACCCAAAATATCAGGATCTGCGGAGAGAAAGCAGAGTTAATATTTCGGGTCCAGTGACCCTTTTTCAGAACTGTTCTCTACACAGATGCTGCCAGACCAGGTGTATGAACAATGCCAGGTGTCCTTGGTGTGTAAATTTGTAAATTGGCCAAAACCTTATTGTGGGAAGAGATCCTCTGTGAATTCCAAATCACAACAAATTTCTGTCCGAGTTGTGACACTTTATGAAACCAATATTTCATGTTTAAAATTGCTGTAACTTTTGTGAACTTACTGTATTTTTGCATTAATTACCCATTAAACTCTGCATGGAATGTTCTAACTAGTAACGGGTAGTTTTGATACTTGTCCGTGGCTGCCATCAACCCCTCTTATTCAGAAGGTCTGGAATCTCGTTCCTTCAGGTTGTGAGGTGTGTCTCAGTGTCTGTTGGTCTATTTGGAATATTTTTGGTGTAAAATACATTCTGCTTAAAGTGGGATACATGCTTTGTTGGTTTTTTTTTAAACCAGCACAGCCTTCCACTTGGGTTTAAATTAAGATTTGTGCACTTGGTGCATTAAGAAATGCGACTTTATCAATTGTAAAATCTTTATTGTATTTATGTACTTCTAGCAAGCTGAACGGCACATGAAATGGCTGATTGATCCATTGCCTGTCAACGTAAGGGTGATTGTTTCTGTAAATGTGGAAACTTGTCCCCAAGCATGGAGGTTAGTAACTGAATGTTTTGCAGAGTTTGTCTCTTTTTAAATTGAACTTTGTAAAACTCATTTACAATAAACCCAGCAAATTAATCTTGAATGTAAAACATTGTCTTTATTTTTGTGTTTTGTACGTGGTTAGCTATTTGTTTTCTGTGAGCTAGCTAGTTAAGTTATACTCAAACATATTATGGAATTTACAAAATTATAAGAATAATGTCAATCTCTGTCAATTTTTTGCTTTTCTTCTTCCATTTCCTGATTTGTTTATGAAGAGAATTGGTCATGCTGTAATGAGTAACTGTTAAAAGTGATCAATTCTATGAATGTACGGTGCTAAAGATAATGGGACTGGGGCAAGAAACAGGATTTTTTTAATCATACATTTGTAAAATTTTGGCAGTGTTTGCCTATCCGTCCATAAGTATTCTTCTCCTCCAGCCTTATGAGAGTAGGGGTAATACCTTGCAGCATTCGGTACTTTGACCTGCAGTGGTGGACATGTTATAATTCTCCTCAACATGTTTCATCAGCCTCGCACCTCCACTACTGCCATTGCTGGTCAAAGTTCTTCATCCATTCTGGAGCTTCAAATTATTTTTTAAATAATGCCGCAGATGTTCAATCAAAATCAATAGATAGTACTGCTACCCACAGTGCCAGGCACCCGGGCTCGATACCACCCTCAGTTGACTGTCTGTGTGGAGTTTGCACATTCTCCTCGTGTCTGCATGGGTTTTCTCCGGGTGCTCCGGTTTCCTCCCACAGTCCAAAGATGTGCAGTTTAGGTGGATTGGCCATGCTAAATTACCCATAGTGTCAAGGGATGTGCAGTCTAAGTGGATTAGCCATGGGAAATGCAGGGTTGCAGGGACAGGGTGGGTCCTCGTGGGATGCCCTGCGAAGTGTTGGTGTGGTCTTGATGGGCTGACTGGCCTGCTTCAACTCTAGGAATTCTGTAAGGTTAAAAAAAAATTGAACAAGCAAATTCGGAACATGTTCTGGGAATTATAGACCAGGCAGCGGAGCTTTGGTCACAGGAAAAATAACGGTATCTGTATTAAAGAAGAAAATGGAAAAAGTCAGAAACCAAAAATATAATAATGAATATCAGCATGGATTTCAAAAGGGAAAATATTGCCTGACCAACTGTACTGAATTTCTTGCAGAGCTAACAGTGGGAATAGTCAAAGGTAATGCAGGTGTTAATACATCTAGCTTTCTAAAAGACATTTTGAAAGGTACCATATAATAGATTAAGGTCATGCAGAGTTATAGGACGGGTATTGGAATGGACGCCTAGCAGGCTGCAAGATTGAAAGCCGGAATCTAGGGTAAAATTTAGGAATTCAGAATGGTAGATAGTGGGACACAGGGTCCCAGAAGGATCAGTTCTGGAAATAATGTTGTTCAGAATTCCTATTAGTAATTTAGACTTCAGAATCAAAATGAAAGTAATAAATCGTTGAATTTTTGGATAACATCAAGTAATCAATACTGTGGAGCACAACAAATTACAAGGAAACATTAATAAACTTACACAGTGGGCATACAATTGTCAAATGCCAATGCCATATTGACATGGGTTTTGGTGAGGCGTTCTATCTTGATAAAGAAAATAAGGACGTTAAATTAATTGGAAAATTATAATCTGAATAGGGTAGAGGGACTAAGGAATCTGGAAGTACAAATACAGAAGTGCAAATGTTAGTTTCTACAGGGATAGAATTAAAAAACAGTAAAATTGTGCTAAACATGGACTTAAATCTTGGATAGGCCACTCTTGGAGCACTATGTACAGATCTTGGTGTTGTATTTTAAAAAGATTTTAGAAGACTGGAAAGATTTGCAGATGATTTACAAGGATGATACCAGACCTGCAAATTTATACCTATAAGGAAAGGATGAATAGACTGGATCTTTTTTGTGGGTGACTTAATGATGGTTTTAAATTTATGGAAGACTCTGATAGGGTAGAAACAGGCATTGTTTCAACTTGAAGAGCAAAACTAGAGGCTGTCAATTTAAAGTAATCACTAAGCCATCCAATAGGGAATTCAGGAGAAACTTCTTTACCAAAAAATAGTGAGAAGGAGAAACCTGCTCCCACACGGAGTACTTGAGGTGGAGCTGCATAACCATATGATGGAAAAAGGAATTGAGGGTAAGATTCAGATCAGGAACGGTGAGTGTAGGCTCAAGTGAAGCACAAACATTGGCACAGAACTGGAGGAGCCAATGACCTATTTTTCTGTATATTCCACATAAAATTCTTTGTATTATATGAGGTGATGAAAGAAGATGTAGGGTAATATTTAGTGTCTGCATAGCAGAAGATGAATTAGAATCCCATAATCCACCAATTTAATTTTGTTTCAATCAGATTGTGGCCAACACTACATCTTGATCCACTGAGCCCAAAAGATGTCAAGACTCTGATCAATTTGCAGTGCTGTGATGCTGACGTGAAACTGACTAGAGAGCAGGTTTGTAATCCAGTGTCCATTTGTAAACAAGGTTTCATGTATAGAATGCTTTTACTTGCATCTTGAAAAGTTAAGAAATAATAAATGTTAAATAAAGTATGACATTACTTTCAACATTTTTGTTCACATAAGCAGAAGTATATGCAAGTTATAGTTCAAAGTTATGACCTGTAAATGTTATTTTTTTTGTGAATCTGCACACGCTATCTTGCATGTTAAAGTGGATGATAAAGCAATGCGTAACTAAGAAATAGAATTCTTTCAGCAACATTTTATGAAGAGATTGGAGCAGAGAAGCTGATAAAATGTGAAAAGCCAGATCAGAGTTGTGGAGTGTAATCTCAGCTGAACTTCAGCCTCAAAGTATAATGGACAGGACTGCTTTTATTAATTTATATTTAATACTTGTGTGTCGTTAAGCATGTAGGCTTTGATGTTTACAAGATTGGTGCTAGCAGGGTTCCTCATTCTGTATTTTGAATGTATATTTTCATATCAGATGTAGAGGAAAACCAAGGCAGGGAATTCTAGCTGTCTGGAATTATCAGGGATTCTATTTGTATCCAACAGCAGTACATTTGTGTCTTTTTGGAGAATTGAGTTTCTGGAGCAGAGGATTCTGCTTTAAGAACCTTCGATTAAATTCTGCCTCATCAGGGAGGCTGCAATCAATGACAGGAGGCTAACAAGCCTGCCTCACACTCATGATATCTGGAACATTATGACCTGACAATCGGTACTCTCCCTGCAGCCATGTAATTCCCTGGAGAGAGGAAAAGAGAAAGCTGGGGCCAATAAAGGGAGGAGGATACTCCCTTACGTCTTTGGGTTATTTACATCAATCCAAGAGAACACGTTGACCGTGCAATTGTATATTATCTGTCAGCACTCTGTGCCTTAGCCAGGAACTGGTTCAACTCCCTCTTGAAAGCATGCAGGGAGTTGGCAGCAGCTGGCAATATCTTTCGTTGGCTCACGTCTCTCAGGAGAAAGAGGGAATTTCTGAGAACAGGCCTGTCCATACTTGTACAGTTTAAACACATGCCCTTCAGTCCTTCAAATCTATTAAATTCAGATAATCTTCCAAATGGATGTGCTGTCCCTTTCATTACCTTATTCACCTCCATCACCATGATGAGCAATGGTAGCAGTCTGTACCATCTACAAGATGCACTGCAATAACTCATCAAGGCTTTTTAACAGCACCTTCCAAGCCTCTACCACAAAGAAGGACAAGGACAGCAGGTGCGTGGCAATGCCACCATCTACAAATTCCTCTCCAAACTAAATGCCATGCTAACTCGGAACTGCACCACCATGCTTCTGCTGTCTCTGGTTCATAATCCTGGAACTCCCTGCTTAACAGCACTGTGGCAGTTCAAGAAGGCAGCTCAGTGCTGTCTTCTCGAGGGCAATTGAGGATGGACAATAAATGTTGGCCTGGCCAGAGATGCCCACATCTCACGAACAAAGTTTTAAAAAAAAAATCAATCAGGCCATCTTTTAAGTCTGTGCTGCTCTGAATTAACCTGTAAGGATCTTTACATTAAGAATCATTATTTTCTTAGCTTCTCTGTGAGTCAGAGTTGTTTCTGAATTGTACTGTTTAGAATGTGGTTAGCATAGTAGCAATACTAGACAGTTCAGTAGAATACAAGAAGTCTGTGACTCCCTTCTGAGGGTAGTAAAGGGAAACGGGACTTAAAAGTAATGGGTCAGTTAAGTTGCTGAAATTGTCCATTAAATACATCTATCTCAATTTTTGTGGGTTGGTAAGGGGGTGTTGTGGGGGACATGTTAAGGATGTAGTCAGCAGTGTACCCATACAGATCAGGGATAAAGAGATCCTATCATACATGCTGCCAGTGTCTCTCTTAAAGTATGTTCCCAAATACTTAAACAACATCACAAAGGCTTGTCATTATTGTACTATTGCTTGTAAGATGTTCTGTGCACAAGTTGACTGCTGCTTGTCCTACAATCTGACAGAGACTGCACTTCAAAAGTACTCCATTTACTCTGCAGTGTTTTGGGATGGCCAGTGGTTGTGAATGGTGCTATATAAGAGCAGTCTTTAACAGTTTTCACAATCGTAATCTATCTACACAGTTTAACTCTTAGAAACATGCGGTACAATTCACAGCTTTTCACTTCCCACATCCTTGTGGCTTTGATCTGATACTATTGATAAATAACTTTTCAAGTACCCTTTAAGTTCATGTAAAATTTAAAACTTCTTCCTCTCTCCACTCCAGATTTCTGCCTGGCTGCACACCCAAACACCAAAGAACCATTACAATTGCACAATTAATCTCAAACTTCTGCTCAGAATTCCAACTCTGGCGAGTTAATTAAATGAATAATTTGGAAGTCAAAGTTGCTTGAAACAAATGTTCTTGTTAGAAATGACAGCTAGGAATTCTCCATTGACTTAGCAGATATATGTTAAGAGATTGGAAGAGTCATAATGTTCAGGAAGGTCCAGGGTTGAGGACTGACCTTTGCAGCCTCAACAGCTTTCAGTCAGATCTGTTTTATGAGCACTTCTCAATGCTGCACTTTATGCTTCTGGGAGCACTGAAGACAAGTTGAACTCAATAGGGCACTTGCTCCGTTCCCACACACTTGTTATCTAGGATTGCTCGTGAATAGTAGCACTTGGCTGACGTAACTGGTCCCTGGAGAACCGTACTGTTTTTAGAGAGGTGACGAAATGAAATGTTTGTTTATTTTATTTGGATGTCATTATTGATTGCAGGAGAAGAAGCTGGAGAAACATTGCAGATCTGCGACTACATGCAATGCACTGTATGTTACACTACTGGGCAAAATGATTACAAGGTGGGATCATTAACTTACCTAATTAACTATGGAATGTTCTTTGTGTTTATTCGGTGAAATGGTTTCAACTGTCTCTAATTGTTCCTGCATAAGTGGAAAATACTGCTGCAACCATTTTTCTAAACTGAGAAGTTTCACATTTAGCTGCCCTCTGAAATGGGCCAACAAGCAACTATACAGTACTCAGTTGGCTTACCGTCGTCTTCTCAAGGGCAGCTAGGTGTGGGCAATTAATAATTGTTGGGTCTCGTCAATGGTGCCCACACCCCATGGATGAATAAAACAAAATGCTACATTTGACTGTGTGCGCGCTGATTCTGGAGGTTGCTGTGCCACTTTCTCCAAATAATGAAGCATTGAACCATCACCATTATTCTTAACACAGATCTGGACTAATATAATTAGCAACTATAACATTTTGAAATGGTATGCTTTATTTTTGCTTCACAGTATTTTATTTTTATGCATTAATTCTACATTTTATAATCACCAACCTTCTGCTGCTCAGCTCCTATAGCTGCTGGACCCAGAAACAAATTTAGTATCAAGTGTTTAAGTAATAATTAGTGATGCACTTGCTCCAAGATATTATATCATCATACTCTGTGTAGCATAAACTATGTGCGGCTCAAGTAGTTGCTCTTATAAAAGGGAATGTGCTGCATTTTCTTCAATTTCAGGAAAAGCTCAACCTATTTAATTGCAGATGTGCTGGTACTGAGCTTAACCATATTTGTATTTGTTTAGCGTCAAAGGTCTGGGAGATATAGACGATATTCTCCAGAAATGTTTCCAGTGTCAGGATACAGTGTCTTTGTACAGACTTGTGCTGCAATCTATACAACAATCTTTGCCTATTGACAGGGCAAAGCAGCTAATGAGAGAGGTGAGAGGTTATATAAGAAACTTTTTTCAGCAATTGTCAGCAAATTAATTTTAATTCCAAGGAGAGTGTAGATGTAAAGTTAGATTGTTGCAAACTTAAAAAAAAAAGGTCGCACAAAGAAAGGGTAACTTAAAATAAACATTATAAACCATAAGTAACTGAATTAAGTAACTAAAATGAATTGATTATCTGAAGAAATTTTTTTTCTTGGATGTGGACTCTATAATGTGTTATTAATAGTGCTGGGTATACTTTAACTATCTAATCCTCATTTCAAGTACGTCGGGATTTTAATGGTTGCATCATGTGAGAAGTAATCATTGATTCATCTGAAATCCATTAAAGTGGAACACCCTGATTGATTGTGTTTTGACATAGTTTCTTTAGGTGCAATAGGCTGATTGTTTATTGTCACGGTTTGACAGCCAACATGGAAAGAATATTGTGGCAATCACTGTAAAGGAATGAAAAGAAATTCTCCTAGAGCCTTTTCAACATGGTCAGATGCTTCCCAGGATACAAAAAGTAACTGGGGGGAAAAGAAAACATCTGAAGAAGAGTCATACTGGACTTGATACGTGAACTCTGTTTCCCTCTCCACAGATGCTGCCAGACTTGCTCAGTTTCTCCAGCACTTTCTGTTTTTGTTACAAACAGTAATTAGTTGACTGTGAAACACCTTGAGTTGTTCTAACCTGAGCCAATTTGCCTGGCGGTTAAATTTGTAATTGTGATATTTTCTTAGAACCACTACACACAAGCTTTGCTGCCACCACTGATTTTTAGTATTTTTTATTTTTTAAAGTTATATTTTACATATCAAGGAATGTATACATAACATTCTCACCAGTGATGTCAAGCATGACTTGTTTAGTTTAATCCTGCTAAAGGATTTGGATTTATTTTCAATCTTGTCCATATCAAAGTTGTGCAGGTATGCTGTTTAAATTTAAGGTTACCAAATTTTCTGAAATTTAAGAAATGGTTTCTGTATTTCTGAAGCATTTGAAAATGTCTCCAGAGAAGGAAAAGAAATGTTTGTCTGTTATTTTATATTCCCATTACCTAATTAAAACCACTCAAATGTTTAAAATATTTAAAGCTGTTATATTTGTTGGAAAACTGCAAGCAATGCTCAAGGTTGTCTACTTGTGATTGTGTGGGTTAAAAAATGTGTTGAGTGGTTAAAGTATATATTTAAGTTTTTTTTTTAAAATACAGTCGTGTTTAAATTATTTTAAACCAACGGGATGATTTTTAAATCAGATTGTTTAAAATGCTTCTTGTGTTGTAAGTAGGTTTGTCTATGTATTTTCTAACCTTTATCTCTCAATTCCATTCCAGATTCTCTGTCTAATCTATGTGAGTCACAATGGTGTTAGTGAAGGTGAACTATTGGAGATTTGCCCAGAACTTTCTTGGCCTTTATTAGCCTCTCTTCTTCATAGCTTGCAGTGCACATGTGTGATAATGTACAGCTGTGGACTGCTGAAGTTTCAGCATCTTCAGGTAAGGTTACTCACTTTCAAACAGCTCCCTGTTCTTCAAGATTCCTAAGGCATGTAAACACTTAAACTATTGTATTTTCACAGTTGTACACTATAGTGACAGGGCTGTATAGAATTTTCATAGTTAGGAGAGCCTCAAGCTCACAAAACAACTTATAGGTTTCTGGTAACTCCTACTATCATGCAGCAGATTTGATGACAGCTGACTGACTGGGAAATAATAGCTGCATTGTAGTAAATGTTATAGGTCAAGAGCACTTGGAATACCCTTTCTTTGGGCAAGACGTTGTTTGAATTTATGTTGCGCAGTTGACAATCTTAGGCTATCCCAGTCTCACAGCCAAAGAAGTTACATGTCAGCCAATTGCACACGTCAAGATCCTACAAGCAGTAATGAAATAAATGTCCAAATAAATTGTTTTTGTTTATTGATATTTCTTTGCGACAAGGGTTGGTCACAGCAATGGGTGACCAATTTGCATTTATTCTTTGAATAGTTACATGAAATGTTACATGACCATTGGGCAGCATAATGGCTCAGTGGTTAGCACTGTTGCCTCACAGCAACAGGGACCCGGATTCGATTCCAGCTTGGGTGACTGCCTGTGTGGAATTTGCACATTTTCCCTAACTCTGCCCGGTGCTGTAGTTTTTTTCCCACAGTTCAAAGCTGTGCAGGTTTAGTTGGATTGCCTTGCTAAATTGCCTGCAGTGTCCAGGGATGTACAGGTGAGGTGCATTAGCCATGGAAATGCGGGCTTACAGGTATAAGATAGATGTGGACTTGATGGGCTGAATGGCCTGCTTCCACACTGTAGTGATTCTATAATTCTATGAAATGTAAGTATAGACAAAACTTGCATTTAATTGAGCAGTACAGTGCTCCATTAGAGTGTCAGTTGAGGTTATGTGCTCAAGCCTCGAGCAGAGTTTGAATCCATGATTTGACTTCGGAGTAAGAGTCCCTGCTGATAACAAATTGACTCGTTTCCTGATGCATTCACCATTATTTGTGTGGCATTAAAGTGCAAGATATAAATTCCATTTCTTGTGACTTTAACAATCCATATTGTAGATCAAGTTCAAGATGGCACTTTGTGTTTAATGTTTGTACTCTTATGATTTATTTGAAGGCTTGGGAAGCAGTGAGATTGCAATATATGGAGAAAGAAGAGCCTGACACTATTACAGTGTACAGAGAAAAGCTTGTGCAATATTTTTCACATCAAATGAGGTATTTATTGCCCTACAAGCAATTACGAGGATATATAATAATTAAATCGCAATTTATTTACACTTTGCAAAAGACCCTCTCTTTTTTCTGTTTTTATATCCCCCTAGAGGGGATTTGTAGGCTCCTTGGTTCTGTGCCTTAACCAATGCTCCTTTTTAACTAGATGCTAGAAAATATTCTTAAAAATCCAAAGAACCGTGGATGCTAGAATCCTGAAATAAAATGGAAAAACTCAGCAGGTCTAGCAGCGTCTATGGAGGGAAAGTAGAGTTAACGTTCTGGGTCCACAACATTAACTTTGCTTTCCCTCTGCAGATGCTGCCAGACCTGCTGAGTTTTTGACAGAAAATGTGCAGTCTCTCATGGTTGCATTTTTGCCCTTTTCTAGTGGAGAAACACTACACCTCAGTCCTGCTTTAAATCCGACAATCTTATTGCACGTAAGCAGGGCGCCTGGCTTATTGTGTCTGTGCTAATTCTTTCAAATACTTCTCCAATTAGTCCATTTCCCCAATCTTTACCTATAACATCCTGGAGAAGTTTTGCATCCATATGTATCCACAAATACTTCTTGAAAGTTATTATTGTATCTGCCTTCACCACCAATTCAAGCAGCACATTCCAGATCACAGCGTGGAAAAGAAATGTATCCTTATGCTGTCTTTAGTTGTTTTGCCAATCACCTTCGATCTGTGCCTGCTTGTTTCTTGTTGCCAGACAGTAATGCAATGAAAATGGAATCCCACTGCATGGAACCACAGATATGAACCTCTCTGCACTAAGTTGCTATTTTGCTATCTTTGTAATACATAGAAATAATAATTAACATTATTTTCTGTTTTAGAGATGAGTCTATTGTTGAATGGATTGTTAAATCACTTAATTGGTGGTTTCTGTCTTACTTTAATTTAGTAAATAAAATACATTATTCTTTGTGACAATGGCCTGTGTCATTCATGACTAATCTGTGGCTTTTCAGTCAGGGCAGAGTAACCTGGCGTGATGCTGATGAACTTCCCTGGCTCTTCCAGCAACAGGGAGACAAACAGAAACTGCACAATTGTCTGTTGAACCTCTTTGTCTCTCAGAACCTTTACAAGAGGTAGGAAGCTAGACTACTTAGTCATTATCCCCTTTTCAAAAACAGCTTTAATCCTTATTTGGGGAATCTCTTAAAACCAGGGTTGCTGTATTAAGTGTTGATAGTTTGGACTCTGTGGAAATGGGAATTATAGTTTTGTTAGGTTTACAATGTACTATGTAGTTTTAGCAACAAATGCAGTAATGCGATCAAGTGAATTTTTAGCCCATTTCTTTGTTAAAATGTAATGCCCTGCCGTTGATAAAATTTATTATGCACATATCCCTATTAATTCAGGATATATTACTTAAACAGTTTAACAAAACAGCAATACTCAACTAAATCGTATTGTTGCCTATGTAGCAAAGTTTGTCACTTTTGTTTTCTGGACAAAAGGCTTGAAAGAGGAACCAATGTCATTTTAAATAAATACATACTTTGAGATTGGTTCAATTATGGAGGTTACAGCTTGCTTTGTTTTTGAATAAGTAACTTTCGCACTTCAGTTTGGAATGTATGAACATGATCAAGCAACAGAAAGTCCTTTTAATGGGAATAAAACAAATTATTTGAAATCTTCATGGAAAGACAAGATAAATGAGCTGGCTCCTGTAGTAAAGATAGAAGAAAAGAATGATTTGTGTATAAGATATTGTGCAGAATTGTGCACTTAAACTGATATGAAATGAAACAGGGATGATGTGAGAAGAAGTTTTTTCACATAGTGACTTGTTAGGGGATGGAATGCACTACTGGAAATATTGTGGAGGCATGTTCATTTGAAGCATTCAAGAAAGCATTGGATGGTTATCTGGATAGATATAGTGCGTAGATAGAATTGTTGCAGGCATGATGGGCCAACAGCTGCCTCCTGCACCATAATAATTCTGTGATAAATCAGACTTTAATATATTTTGGAGCAGTCATATAATAGAATTATAAGATTACATGGAGGTAAAAGATCAGTAGGTTAAAAAGAATTAACTCTTAGGCTCTTAATTCAAATATGTTGCTGAAGGTTTGCTTCAACATTAACCTAAGAGAAGTATTATTGAAGGAAAAAGCATTTGGGCCTTATTTTAACAAATAAAAAGGAACTTTTTCTGTTCTGGGACCATCTTTTCAGTTTAGGAAAAATGGAGGACTAAAAGTGATCATGTGACATGTCTAAATTCTGCTGACAGTGAGACAGAGGGTGGGTTGTTTTTACTGAGAAGATTATGCAAGTTCTTAAAGTCTGATGACAATGACAAAGTATCTGTGCTGATGTAGATCCAACAGATCTGCACCAACCCTCCGAAGAGCATCCCACCGAGACCAATCCCCCTACCCAAAAGATAATGGAACTTCCAGTGACCAATTGAAAGGATCACCAAATAAGATTTCAAGATTTACATTGTTTACTGTAACACAAACTAAAAGCAACACTTGTAAAACACTATTTCAGCAGACAACTTATACTCTAAACTGCAGAAAAAATCCCCTCATTAAAATTTAAAACACTGAAAATTTACAATTCTACTTTACTCTGTCCCTTAAGTCCCTCCATTCTCCTGGAACTAACCCAAAGTGATTCTTAGTTCCCAGGAACTTGATTCCTTTCTTTTCCTTCCTCAGTCAGGTAACTCCTACTGCCTGAACTGACTTTCATGGAGAGTTGGATAACCTTCCCATCTCATTTAAATCTTCATGAACCTGGTTGATTCAATTTAAGTTCAAGTTCCTTCCTGCATTACTGCATGGTAAACCATTGAGACTGCCATCACTATCTCACACCTCTCTTGGATCCCAACAGAGGAGCATTGTCTGTAAGATTCAGTGATATTTAAGAAAACACCTTCTCAGCTAATCTGCAATGGCTTTTTATGCATTCTCTCTGCCTCAAAGCTCATCTCCATAACAACATGAATCACATGGACCTCATGTCCAGAAATATTAGCTATTCTTTAAATTCCCACTTTCATTCTACCTGAGAAGTAATTGGACAGTTTAAAGTGCAAGTCTTTACAAATGTGATATTCCCAACATCTTGGGGGTGGCACGGTGGCTCAGTGGTTAGCACTGCCGCCTCGCAGCACCAGGGACTTGGGTTCAATTCCAGTCTCGGGCGACTGTCAGTGTGGATAAATCCAAGAGACTTGAGACAAAAAAAACCTTAAGTAAAGTGAACAGTGGAAAAGACACCAAATGTAATTAGGTTAATACAATTTAATCTAAGTGCCTTTTGAAAGAAGAAATCTGAGAGCCTGTTTCTAGAATCTTGCTGTATTGCTTTATCTTGTAATTAATTGGGATTTGTACATGTCATTTCTTTAAATATGATTATTACAAGTAATTAAACATCATCTTGATATTATCACTTATCCATTACAAGTTTAGGGAAAATGAAATTGTATTTGACTATTAATGAAAATCGTGAAGGCCTTTTTATGCTAATATTGTAGTTCTTTAATTTGGCATTTTGCTCCATTATCTGGAAGACTAAATAAGAGTTCCATCTTATTAATTTATATAAATTATCTTTCAACAAAGGTTGCAGTGAAAGAAGAATGTAATTGTTCCTATTTAACGCAAAATGCTTTCTTGTTATGTGCCTCTAGAGACTAGAGGTAAAATAAATTTAATTCTGTGTATCTGTGTGATTGTATATCCACTTGTAGTGAATGCCCAAACTATGGGTTTAATATTCTTGGATCGTTTATGTAATACCAAACTAAGGCGCTAAATGGATTGTCATTTCAAATTATACTTTTTCAACAGGAGAATGAAAAGAGGGAATAGCAGCACTGAATAAATTATGGGAGACACTTTATCCCTCCTGTCAGTTAGAAATTGTTAAGTAGCTGCAGTGTGGCCTTGGTGACCCTGTTTTAGTTTTGTGTGCTGACTGTAGTAGAAGATTTCTTTCATTTGCACAATATAGATAGATTTGTTTAACATTTGTACATACACTTCATAGCCATCTACCACCATTTTAGAAACTGAAGAAGTAAAGTATTTGCAACAATCAGAAAACACCCTGCCACTGTTTGGCTCGTTGTTTTACCATAAACTACCCGAAAAGTTTAAAGTTCACATGGAGATGTCATCTGAATATGAATTTTATTCGTGCCCATTAACTACGCACATTACTCTCTTTTTATTTGCTAATTAGCAATGCAGTTTTTGTCATAGGTGGTTAGTGATTAAAGTACTGGACAACACTGTCCTGTTTTCAAATTTTACAACATTTCTCAGATGCTTGTGACAGTTGTACAGAAATTGTATGTAATCTTATTGTTAACTGCCTATATGCTAATAATTTGCATCAACTAGTTTCATTCTCTTGTACTTCTGTCAAAAAATGTTTTCCTGTTACTTTTGTGCAGTTTTCCTGTACATCATTTAAACCATTTTTGTGTTGTATTTCAGGGGCCATTTTGCAGAGCTGCTTTCTTACTGGCAATATGTGGGAATGGATAAAAGTTCTATGGCTGCTGCTTACTTTGAGTCTTTAAAGCAGTATGAAAAAAAGTGTGAAGGCGAGGATATGGTCACCCGTTTGGCAGATCTCTATGAAACATTAGGGCGCTTTTTGAAAGACTTGGGCCTACTGAGTCAGGTACTTATTATAAGTCCTGTGGAGGTATGGGAGTGGAAACTTGACGAGTAAAACGCAACAGAATATTATACTTAACATGGACCTAAGCCATCCAGCTTAAACATCTTAAATCACAGACTGGTTGAAATGATTCTATTAATCAGCCCTGTCCAAACTACAGTAACATCAGTAAAGAAGCCATGTTCTGTGCAGACCTCCCACTCGATTCAAAAGATGTAGTCACCCAGGAGAGCAGAGTGATTTGAATTTGAAATGTTTATTAGGTAACCTGATGCACTTTTTAATGAACCTCTCACTGTCTTTGTGGGACTAAGTGTACATTTTAGTCTCTGTTGGTTTATCTCCCAGACCTGCATGGCTCAGATTACTGAAGAAGCTTCAGCAGCAATTTAGAATGTATAGGTGAAATGTATTTCAAAAGGAGAGCTCCTTTGTCAGCTTGATTGGCAAGCATTTTTTAGTGGTTCCAAATTTTACAAACCAGAGAGTCGCGGTTCTAAGTTCCAGGCTGTGATGAGTTGTTTTTTTCAGCTGAGGTGGAGGCTGGGGAACAGTTGTCAGTCTAAGTATTCTTTGGCTAACAATAAATAAAACTCAACATCTGTTCGGAATGAAGAATCAAAACTGATTTTTTTTTGAAGCTGGTAATTCTTATTACCTTAGAGAAACTTAGCAGATTTGGCGGTATCTGTGGACCTTTAGGGTCACTGGACTCAAAACATTAGCTGTGTTTTCTCCCACAGATGCTAACTCAGCAGGTGACCTAAAGGTCCACAGATACTGCCAAACCTCCTGAGTTTTGCCAGGAATTTATGTTTTTGTTTGCTTCAGATCTCCAGCGTCCGCAGTTCTTTTGTTTTATTTTGTTCTCAATATCTCATTTGTTAATGCCTGTATCTCTCTAACTAAATAAGCTGGGTAATCTTTTCAACTACCCAGATCCATCTCCCGCCACAACTACCCAATTTTATTTTTCTTCCCTGCTGCTAATTCAGGCTGTATCAGACTATGCCTAACTTTGGTGTCCCATTTGATCCTGATCTGAGTTTTAAACTGCACATCCAAGTTTGTTTATTTCCACTGCCCCGCACTGCTCGCCCCTCTCCCACCCCCTTTTCATTGCTTCTTGAACTTTATCTGCACTATCACTGCCTATCGAGTAATGGAGTGATTTACATGCAATCTGCTGAGTTTCTAATGAACATAAGAATTAGTTGCAGGAGTTAGGCCATTTGGCCCCTCTAACCTGTAAGATTGTGGCTGATTTGATTGTGGTCCATGTTTCTGCCTGCCTGAACAACTTTTGAGTTCCCTGTTAGTCAAGAATCTGCCTTCTCCCTGCCTTTTGAAATGTTCAATGACTCTGCTTTCGCTGTTCTCTGGGGGAGTTCCAAAGACTCGAGTCCCTCTGAGAGAAAAATAAATTCTCCTCCACTTCATCTTAAATGGAAGGCCCCTAATTTCTAAACTCTGTCCCCTACTACTAGTTTGCTTCAAACCAACAAAATGTTGTGTAAAGCTGAAGGATATCTGCATTACATCCCACAGTGGATTCCCTTTTTATATTGGGCGTTTCCTCACTAACTTCAATCTGTATCTTATCTTCAGAATGTCAGATTTACTGACCCTTGTTGCTAGATACCTCATGTTTTGCTTCTTCTCCGTTCCCATCACAGCTCCCAAGGGATGCCTTTGCCTTTGTAGACATTAGAACTTTCTTTATTACATTAAAGTTGCTGTGTAAATAACAGTAATGATCAATTTTCTGGTGTAGCATTGTCTTGCTTACATGGTTTAAGGACTTCCTCCATATAAATTTGATACTGTCCCACAAAGCCTTAATTCTAATGCTTCAATTCAAATCACAGTGTGTAACTTTAACTTGCCAGCTGTAAATATGGGTCATCATTGTATGATAAACTAAACTTGGTAAATGAGTCAGAAACAAAATATTTCAACTGTGTGTAACTTTCTCCATTTATAGGCTGTAGCACCCTTGCAGCGTTCTCTGGAGATCCGAGAGAGTGCATTGGACCCTGATCACCCCAGTGTGGCTCAGTCCTTGCACCAGTTGGCTGGTGTGTATGTGCAGTGGAAGAAGTTTGGAAATGCAGAGCAGCTGTACAAGCAGGCACTAGAAATCAGTGAAAATGCCCACGGTTCGGTTCATCCCCGGGTGGCTCAGGAGCTGGATGCTCTAGCAATGCTTTATCAGAAACAAAATAAGTGAGTTTTTGATGTAAGTTTGATACTGTCAGGCACCTTTTAAACTAACGGATGTTACTGTGTGTAGCTTGTACAGGCATATAGATGTATTTTGCTGTGAAGGAGCTCAAAGCTGTAGCTATCTTTCCAGAAGATTTCCTTTATTTTGCAGAAATGCCTGTTAGTAAAATCATACCGTAACCTCTTCTCCATGTATATTGCACCTAATTATAAGTTGATAGCCTTCCCAATAAAGTAAAGTCATTTATTCATAAATGTTGAATGCTTTTGGCTGACTTTTGGTGGTGATTTGAGGTATTGTGCTTACTTGAACAGACAACTTCCTCCTTTTCCTCCCCCTCCAATTGACAATGCTGGTCAATCACCTTTCTCCATCACCCCCGTCAGTTACCCATTCTGCTTCCAAACTCACTGCATTTAAGTCTCTTGTCACTGCATCATTCCGTTGTGTCTTAGGCCTTACTCCTCTCCATCCTGGCAAACCCATCACTCTCCTCACCAATTTTCTCTCTGTCTGCACAACAGATGGCATATGAACATAGGAATTAGGAACAGGAGTGGGCCGCTCAATAAACTCATAGCTGATCTGATTAGTCAACATTCCCTCCTTCCTCTGATAACCTTCATCCCATTACTTACAAATAAACTATCCACTTCTTCCTTAGTAGTATTTAATGATTCTGCTTCCACTGCCTGTTGAGGAAGAAAGTTCCAAAGACTCATGGCCTTCTGTCAGAACAAAATTCTCTTCATGTCTATCTATCATAGATAGGCGACCCCTCATTTTAAAAAAAGTGACTCCTAGATCTAGATTCTCCCAAAGGGATTTCCACCTCCACCTTGTCAGGACCCCTCAGGATTTTGAATGTTTCAATCTAGTGCTCTTCTAAATTTCAGTGGATACTAAGCTGGCCTGTTCAATATTTCCTTGCAAGATAGCCTGCTGATTCCAGGTATTAATCTAGTGAATCTTTTGTGGACAGCATCTGATGCATTTAATCCTTCCTTAAAAGATATTATACACTGCACTCTATATGTGGTCTCACCAATGCCCTGTATAACTGAAGCATGACCTCCCTACTTTTGCATTTCATTCCTCTTGCAACAAACAATTTTTAGCTTTCTTAATAACTTGCTGTACCTGCATGCTGATCTTCTGTGATTCTTGCACTGGGACATTGAGATTCACCAGCAATTCCAACCTCTCTAATTCCTCACAATTTAGATTTATTTTATTCATCTTGTCAAAATGGACATTTCACATTTTCCCATTAAAATCTTTTTTCAGATACTTGGAAGCTCCCACAATATTCACTTGCTCACTAATGTGCTATTACTGATGGACTGTCATGCATTAATCTCTGCAATGCTGTGAAGTTCCAAATGAGATTTTTGTTTCTACTTTAAAAAAATCCCTGACAGAGCACAATGTTACGTTACTACAGTTCAATTTCATACAGACTGTTTTATGTTTTTGAGGTATGAACAAGTGGAGCCATTAAGAAAAAGGTCCATGAAGATCCGACAGAAGGTTTCCAGACAGAAAGGAAACATGGTAAGGGTTGAAAGACGTAAGTAGTATGACTAAATTATAATGGTGTGCTGTCTGTCCATAAATTTCAGATACCTATTTGTATTACAGACAGCCATTTAAATGGCGTTTTATTTCACTTGTACAATATGTCCTTGGAATAGAAGAAAGCCTTTATAATTTTCAATGTTTTCTTGTTGTGGAAATAGATTAGAGTTAGGGTTCTTTTATGGAACCTATTTATTTGCCAACTTTAAAACTTTTTTTTTCATTTCTTCAATTTTTATTCTAAGCAGCAGCAAAGGAAAAGAAAATGTTCTTAAAAGCCCAAAAGGCCCACTATAAATTCAGATAAACCTATTGTTTTATTTTGAATGCCGATGAAGCCACAGCGTCTAAAGTATAGCTATAGTTAAGCTATAAATCTAAAGATTCAACACGCTTATTGTCAAGGTTTGTTGTGGATACTACTTGTTTAAACCTCTTTACTTTCTTCTTGCTGATGAGGTTATTGCTGATACATAGAGTTGTGTCATCATCTAAATCCTCTGTTCAGGATAATTTGCCGAGTCCTAGAATGGTTACTGCACAGAATAAGTTCATACAGCCCATTAAATCTGTATGGTCCTAGTATGCTGCAGTTCAGCTTGTGTCACTCCCCTGTCTTTTCCCCATAGTTCTGCAAATTTTTCCTTTCCAGATAATGATGCAGTTTCCTTTTGAAAGATTAATTTTCCCTTGCACTATCATATTTGCAGCCAGTGTATGCCAAATCCTAACCACTTTGCATGAAAGAGGATTTTCTCATGTTGCCATTACAATTACTGTAAGTTCAATCAATCTCCAATCTGACCCAAAATGAAATTAATTCTTCTGATTCACTCCCCCCACCTACCCAATTAGAGAACCTTGCATACATGCCTTACCAGACATAGCTAGCCATTTACGCTGCTGTTCTCTAGAACACTGTGCCCTCATCACCAGAAATAGTGAAGGGAGTTGGAGTCTTTAGTTACTTGACTATGGATGCACAAATAATTTACAGAAGGATGGAATCTTGCCAAATTACTGTTCACTCAGTGCATTGAGTTACTATTAGAGGTAATATACTCTCGCATTTTCCTAGAAAATGCGCCATCACATAGACAGGTAATACCTTGGATAAGTTAGGTTCTGGGTATCAAGCGTGATCCTTATCATGATACTTGATGAAGAAATTCTGTTTCTTTTTGTCCTTGTTAGTAGAGATTGTGAAGAAAGAGGTGCAGAATGCTTCTTGTGCACTCGTCAGACGTGATATACTTGGGCACTGAACTGGTGGTAGTCTAGCGGCAGGGACATTGATGTCACAGCCCTGTCCTGGATGCGTCAAGAACATAGAACAGTACAGTACAAGAACTGATTCTTCAGCCTACCATGTCTGCGCCAACCATGATGCTGTTCTAAACTGATCCCATCTGCCTGCACATGCTCCATATCCCTCTGTTCCCCGCCTGTTCATGTGTCTGTCTTAAACATTGCCATTGTAATTGCTCCGACCGCCTCTCCTGGCACACATGCCAGGCACCTACCACCCTCTGTGTTAAAAAAAAAAAAAAAAAAACCTTGCTTCACACATTTCCTTTAACCTTGCTGCTCTCACCTTAAACCTATGCCCCAAGCTTTAGTGTTGTGTGAATAGTGCAGCCAAAACAAGTGGCAGATCTAAATGATGTGCCTAACTTGTGCCCTGTGGATGATTGATTGATATTGAGGAGTCAGGAGGTGAACCATTTATCACAGAGCATCCAGCCGTGGTCTGTTTTTCTGCTCTTAATGTTGATGTGGTTTTCCTTATTAAGCTTATGATTAATGATAGCACTGGAGGAGGTTTACTCATGTTGGTGGCAGGGAAGATCAGAGGGAGATGAGTAAGCTTTTTTAGGTTTGAGCTGGTCATTACTTGGCACTTTAGATGCCATGAATGTTGCCTTCTATTTCCGAGCTGTTGTCTACACCCTGCTGTTAGCTGGTACTGGCTGCTTTATTGGCAAGAGTTGTGAATGGGGCAGAACCCAAATAGTCATCGTCAACCATATTCATTTCTGACCTTATGATGGATGGAGCCTGCAGTAGATAAAGATGGTTGGTCCATGGATGCTGTTCTCAGTAACTGTGATGACTGATTCCCAATAACCACAACCGTCTTACTTACAGCTAGATATGATTTCAATCACAGAAGAAGTTATTGCATTCTCACCTCCACTGATCTCCATTTTGTTGGAGGTTCTAGATGACATGTTTACAAATGCTACCTTAATGCCATGGGCAGAAACTCTCGTTTACTTTTTGGCCCTTAGCTTGTGTCAGGATGTTTTAAGGTCTGGAGTTTTAGTGCTACCTAAAGTGAGCATTAGTGTGCAGGTTCTGCTTGCTGGTGTTGATGCCTAAAGATGGTGGACCAGTCTGATAAAGTAGTAATTCGATTGAGCAGTGTATCTTTCACATTTAATCAAATGTTCCATTCAAAATACTATTCCATGTTTTCACCAACATGAAGTTCCACATGGCCATCATCTCTCTTGTGTCAGTGCCCAGCACCCTAACCCCTTGGGATCTTTGTGGCTTTGTTTCACTCTATGATGGTGATCTCCTATAAACCTGTGTGCCGTTACTGCACTTAAAACATGCTTTGTCTCACACTTCCTCCATTCTAGTATTAGACTATGAAGCCAGCCCCCTCCTTTCAGCTTGAACTCTACCCCACTCCTTCTACTTTGTTCTATTTCTTCACACGTCTGATCTCAGTCTCGTGCTATATCTTTCATTGCTTTTTGAGAAGGACATTGGTTAGTATGCCCAAGGGAGACTTTTGGAATTTTGAATGTCTGCTGCTGTATTGAGGTACTCGAAGCTTGACTAAATGTTTAAATGGTGATACTTTGTACCTCAGCATGGTTTTGCTGTTCTGCGCCGCCGGGTTCTGCAGTTGGAGGAGCTTACACTTGGGACCGAGTCAGCGGACACTGCTCGGATACTGAATGAACTGGGAGTTCTTTACTATCTTCAAAACAACATTGAGTAAGTAAATTTAGTGAATGATTTATCATCGTGCGTCTGATTATCAACTGACCCAACAATAAATATCAGAATAAATCTTACCTCTGGATTAATTTAAGATTACACCTCCTCTCAGTTCCTTACTTTCACAATGGCGTGCTGAGAATAGACTTGCATGTAAAATTGTACATACCTTCTCTTAACTTGATTATGCCTGGCTCAGTGGTGATTTTTTTAGTGTTTTAATGCAAATGTGATGCTCTCAGATGCCAGTATCAAGCACCAAGTTGCTCTGATTGAGTGTGTCTCAGTGAGCTGGGGTGCATTCTGCTGATAGATTGTTCTCACCAAGCTTTGAAAAGGAAAAGGTCATGCACCATTGGCTGTGTATGCCAGTTTCTATCTTAAAGTAAGAATCTGTACAGTAAAACTGTAAAGAAAATCAGTAATCGTGGAGTAAAATTGGTAAGCTGTAGTGTTTTTTAGATTGGGTCAAAAGCCTGTTACCAATCCAGTCTTTAGTTAACATATCAGAAAAACAATTATAGGCATTACAGAAGACTTTTATTTGTTTCTCTTTTTCAAATTCAACATAGGACAGCTGAAATCTTCTTTAAACGTTCATTGGAAATGAGGGAGCGGACTCTTGGTTGTGACCATCCTGACTGTGCACAGTCCTTGAATAACCTGGCAGCTTTGTACAATGAGAAGAAGGAGCATGAAAAAGCTGAGGAGCTGTATGAGAGAGCACTGGATATTCGCCGTATAGCCTTGGCACCTGATCATCCCTCCGTGGCCTACACTGTGAAACACCTGGCAGTGTTGTATAAAAAGCAAGTGAGTTAACCTTACTGCAATGGATTGCTGAATTTTCATTCTGAATACTCCTGATCTCTGCGAACATATGAATAAGGAATAAGAGTAGGCCACTTGGCCCTTCGAACCTGCTTTGCTGTTCAATGAGATCATGGCTGATCTGATTTTTAACTTCAACCTTGTATTCCTGAGTATCACCAATAATCTTTTATGCCTTTGCTTCTGCCTTAAAAATATTTGAAATATTTATTTTCCCATGTATTTTGCACAGTGTACTGTCCCCAGTGACACATTCTTCAAACTGTAGATTTCATTTTTTAAAATACTACAAACTTGTTTAAGAGCCAGCAATTACGCCCATTCTTGATTGAGACCAAATCACATCCCCTATCCATATCTGCATATTGTCCTCCTAAACTGATATATCAGTTAGCATAGAAGTGAATCTGATTTAAGAATGAGTGAATATTAATGTTATGCTGCAGGAATTGGAAAAGTAAAGGGAATTGTTGTTTTGCAAAGATAAGTAAACATGCATTTTTAAATAATTTTATATTGTAATGTAATTTAATAATAATTTTATAATTGAATAGAGGCTACCCAAAAATGAAAATGACTGATAATATGCCATAATCCACAAAGGGCCATCACGTCTCTCTCTATTAGCAAAAGTCAATTGGTTATAAGTAGGTTGAAGGTCACCACTCTGCAAGTGTGGGGCAGGGCAAGGAGGCATGGAAATTACTAAAACATTGTGATATACTCCAGGAACATTGGAACAGAAAGAGGCCAATTGAACCTGTTCTGCTATTCAATGAGATTGTGACATTATTTTATAGCTGTTCTTGCCCCATATCCCTTAACACCTTCTGTTAAGAAAAGCACTTAATCTATCTGTTTTAAATTCAACAGGTGTCTAGCATCAGTTGCTATTTGTGGAATGTATTTCTGAATTTGTGCCACCCTTTATTGCAAAAACATTCCCTCACTTCACTCTCAAAAGATCTAGCTCTTCTTTTTAGAGCACATGCCTGTGCCTTAGACTCCCCAACCAATGAAGTAGGTTCTCCCTATCTGTAGTATCAGTTCCCCTTAAATTTTGATCAAATCAGCCCTCAATTTTCAAAATTCTAAGGGGTGTGACCTTAGTTTGTTTCTGTAAGAATCAGTGAACAGTACTTGTGCAATTCACAAATTTATGCATTAGAATCTAATGCTTAAAGAATGCTAATTCACCTGCAGTTTTGTTTCAAGAATGCAAAATAGTTCTTTTATATTTCCCTTTAAATCATCTGATAGCCTCACTATGTTTTGTTGACAGCTGATAGTTTGGTAGTGCAGAACTTCAGTATTGCTGAAAAAAGAACAAAAAGAAAATAATTATTGTATGTCCCTATGACTTTATAACAGTTGATAGCTATGCTGCAGAATATAAAACTACTCAATACACGTTATTGCAGTTGTTTCTACATTCAGTCCCATTAGAGCTGAAATGTCACTAAGTTTCTGCTTGGCTTAGTGGTAGCAATCTCACTTTGTGTCAGAAGATCACAGTCCACTGCAGAAATGAGGCACATAATCAGCGCCTCAGTACTGAAGGGGTGCTGCGTTGTCAAAGAGGTGCCAATTTTGTGTTAAGCAAACATTAGCGCGTTCAAAAGGCCATAAGAGGAGAAAGGACTTCTTATGTCCCTCAATCAAAATATGTTTAAAAACACAAGAGTCGGTCATACATGGCTCCTTGAAAGCAAACCTCAGGAAATGCGACACGTTCACCACTGACCAAGAGACAAATACACCAGAAAGAACTGTTACAAACAGTCGTTTGGTAGTACAGAACTTCAGTGTTGCTGAAAAAAAAAACATTTTTGTCAATGCTTTTTGTCTTACGTTCATCAGGACAGTTTGTGATGTAGTGCAAATGTAATTGAAATACCAATGTAAAAGGAAAACAATATTTATACCGCAAGAGATGACCATTTGATGTTTTACTGGAACTTTACAGTGTAGATTCCAATGATTTTATTTAAACAATATTTAATAGTCATTTGTATATGTAATAGCTGACAGATTTATATGGCAGGATGTGAAAGTTTCTTTCAAATGATCAGATTCCGAGAAACAAACAAATAACCCTTGATCTTGTAGCTGATTGCATGAAACATTTCTTCTTTTGATGTTGCCTTTGATGCCAAAACTCTTTCGTAGCGTATTAATCCTTGTCTGAATTTGCAGGGAAAATTGGACAAGGCTGTTCCTTTATGTCAGTTGGCAGTTGAAATTCGTCAGAAATCTTTTGGCCCGAAGCACCCAAGTGTGGCAACCGCCCTGGTGAATTTGGGTGTTCTGTACTGTCAGTTGGTATGTTGACTGCTTGTCTCCCTGTACCTGGCTGTTACCTGCTGTTATGCGCTATGCACTTACATTAGGCGAGGCTTAAGAAAGGTGGACTTAAAAAAAATTTAGATTCCAGGCCACTTCCTAATACAGGCAGTTTTGAATAAAACATGGATGACAGAGAGATGGAAAGCCTTATTACCGTGGCACATGCTGAATGCAGACACAACCATCATCATATACATTATTGTGAGGAGCAAGGCTCTAAACTTTCAGCCACTTTTTCAAAGTGGGGAAAGGGGTAACATCAGGGCATGTGAAGTAAATATGAACAATCAGGAAAGTAGCAGAGCTAAACCAAATAATAAGCGATGATGTTGAGTTACTACCTTGCCACAAAGCTCCACCTGCCTGGAGTACATATCTGGAGTTTGAACATTCACCTCCCATAATTTTCTACATTATACAATAAAGATATAATCGTGCGCGAGGGCTCTTGAGGGTGCAGTGGTAGTGTCTGTACCTTTGGGCAAGAAGGCCAGGGTTCATGTCCCACCTGCTCAAAAGGTATGTCATAACATGTCTGAAGCGGTTGTTTAAAAATATCTGTAATAATATGGGAAGGTTGCTTGTGCTTGCAAGGTGTCAAAAGAGAAAAATTGTAATTCTTGAGTGTTTTTCTACAATCAAATTGATTTCAGACATGGATTTTTATCTATGCAGGTACATTGCAAAATAATTCATAAATCAGTGCAATTTATTAGTTCGACCACATTTGAGTAGTGCAGGGGTGGCATGGAATTGTTAGGGGTCACATTTCAATTTTTCTCTTTGGGGCCAGTAATCAAATTTCAGAAAGGTTTTCTTATCCTTCTATCTTTGTCTGTCTCACACTGCCCTTTTTAGCTTCAAGAAGTTAATTCATGGAGCTTTGCAATCCAGCAGTTTCCACCAGTATTATTACCCCACCAGTAAACATTTTATGGTGAAATGGAAGTGGCCAAGTTTATTTTTAGTGAGACTTGAATGCAGTTTTGGAAACGACCACAAAAACAAAGTTGCTGGAAAAGTTCAGCATGTCTGGCAGCATCTGTGAAGGAGAAAGCAGAGTTAACATTTCGGGTCCGGTGACCCTTCTGTTCTGAGGAATGGTCACTGGACCCGAAATGTTAACTCTGTTTTCTCCTTCACAGATGCTGCTAGACCTGCTGAGCTTTTCCAGCAACTTTGTTTTTGTTCCTGATTTACAGCATCCGCAGTTCTTTTGGTTTTTATTTGTAAACGACAATTTACTTTTTTAAAAAATGAAAGAAAGATTAGTCTGAGCAACCAGACGGCCTGACTGTCATTTCCTCCCTCACTGTTCCGACATGACTCTGTTCCCCTCTGCCATCTGACTCTCATTGCCTTCTCCCCATGGTGTGACTCTCATCTCCTTCCCTTCCTTCCCAAGCCAGGGTCTCCCTTGAATGGCATGCAGACTGTCCGCTATGGCTCTAGTCCTCGGGTTGCTTGATGCTCCTCAGTCAACCACAGACTAGTTCCCTCCCACTTTTGCTGTTGGTTCTCTCACCACGAAACCTGCAGTGGCAGCAGAACACAGGAAAGAAAGGGCCTGTGATTACCCCAGCAGTTCCTTGCAGAATCTTACACTTTTACTCACCTGTATTTGAAACTCTGACTTCAAATAAAACAGTAAAGCAAATGTTGACCGTATGGAATAGTGTAGGCTGGCCACCTCTAGAGTACCACATGACATTTGAACATCATATTATAGAAAACTGATTGAACCATGGATAGATTCACCTAATAGAATCCCAGAAATATAATGTTAAACTTGTGAACAAAAGCTTGGACAATTACATTTTCCCAGGGAAAGTTAAATGAAGATTTAACCGAGCTTTTCAAAATCTTTGGTTTTTTCCATTCCCAGAAAGTTGGCATGATTGGCAAGGCTGGAATTATTTTCTGACCTGGACGGCCGGGAAAGGTCACGATATGACTGTATCTTGGTAGGGCCCTTTAAATGGCAGTCAATACAGGCACTACATCACTTTAAAGGAGAGAAAAGTTTCACTTGAAAAGGAGCATCTCTGACTATGCAGCATCCTGTTTTACTGCATGCATTCACTTTGGTACTGGGTATTGAAATAGTGGCCTATTAACTCAGATGCAAGAGTCCAGCTGACACTAGCTAACTAGGAAGCCTTTTACCAGTTGCTGTAAAGATACTAGTTCCTTGTACAATGTACTCTTTGAGAACATGCTTTGTTCTAGTGGGTGATATGCCAAGTGCAAATGATTGTGTGTGGAATAAACAATCTAAAGACTAAAATACATTATTCATGTGACACACAATTACATAAGTTAAGGTGTGAACAACTTTGATGTAAAAGCAATCTTTAAGCCTTTAATAATTAAAAAAAAATCCTAAATTTATCATGTTTCCCCACAGAAAAAGCACACTGAAGCTTTACCACTGTATGAACGTGCTCTGAAAATCTATGAGGACAGCTTGGGTCGTTGTCATCCCAGAGTGGGAGAGACACTAAAGAATTTAGCGGTGCTAAGGTAAGGACAGCCTGCACTGAGCTTGGTCTGTATAATTGTAAGTAGCAGAAATATAGTACGGCTGCGAATTTACTGTAGGTTGATAACATTATGTTATGTCAGTGTCTGGCATGCTGTGTACACTTGGTATATTGCCAGGCTACACTTCAGGTGCTGGAATATGACATGACAGAATTTACTGAAGTTTTGCTTTGCTGAGGTCTTGGAGGCAAGTGAAGCTGCAAATTTGCAAACCCAAACAAAGTATCGGCTTCACCACCTTGATTAGGTTTTTGATTAGTAAAAGGATCAAAGGTTGAGGAGACGGCAGGAGAATGGGGTTGAGAAACGTGACAGCTGTGACCGAAAGGTGGAGTAGATTCGATGCGGGGGGGGGAGTGGTTGACTTTCTCCTGATAGCCAAATGCCCTAACATTCCTAGTTGTTTTAATTTGGGGTCGGTGACTGAGAATAGAAGTGCCCTTGCACCTCCTTATCTATTCCAGCAGCTCCCATCTCTGAAGGTGGGGACTGCCCCGTTACTTAGTTCTGAATGACTTCCTGTTGGATCTCTAACCGGCACCAGCCTGGCCTCCTTAATGGCATGAGGCTTTTCTGGCATTTGTGGCTTCCTGTACCATATTTCACGTGTCTGTAGGACCAGGAGAAGGGAGACCAATGTATTGAAATGTAATTATCAGGATTGGCATACATATTGGTGTGTAGGAGGGCAGATCATTGGACCACTTTGTGAGGGAAGATTGAGTGTCATGGAGAACAGGGTGTCCATGTATTGATAAATATATTCTGGAGAGTAAAATTACTACCATTAAAAAAAAAACAATATCTAGGTATTCATGTTGTTTTGGTGTTTTTAAATAAGCTAAAGTTGAATTAAGATTGGATTTTGTTGAAAATCAAGGATGTGAACCTGTGACCTACAATGTTACGGCTCATTGCTAAGAAAAGAAATTGGAGAAACTTGTAAAGTTTCTTTCATTTTAATATGGCATTTGCAGTATTGAACTGCATGAGTGGTTTTCATACACCCTTTCACATCAGTGTATCAGAATACAAGAGTGATGTTATTTTGCAATTTACAGTTATGAGGAGGCCAATTTTGAAAAGGCTGCTGAGCTATACAAAAGGGCAATGGATATTAAGGAAGCTGAGGCCTCAGTGCTTGGTGGAAAAGCCCTATCAAGACATTCATCCACTGGAGACACTTTCAGTTTAAGAAATGCGCTGGCTTCCAATCCCTACCTGGAAATGGGATACAGGTGACTCATGGATAGAAATGGACAGCAGAAGCTGTAAATATGAAAAACATTGGGAGAAAGTGATATTTTTATTTCTGTTTTTACAGCTGCCTTGGTCACAATATGCTGTGTTAAGTCTAAAATTGAGTTATATTTAAATTGACAGTGGATATTTTCTAAGAAACTGAAGTAATCATGTTAGGAGATACAGGTAACATAAAGAAATTTATCAGAAAGAGAAATTAGGTTCAAGCAATAAAGCCCTGACAATGGAAAGCAAAGTCCTTTCAGCCAGTGATAGTAGGAACTGCAGATGCTGGAGAGTCTGATATAACAAGGTGTAGAGCTGGATGAACACAGCAGGCCAAGCAGCATCA